ACATGGGGTGGGTTGGGAGGGGAGGGGTGGGGTTGCAGTTAGAGATCATGGGCTTGAGGGAGGGGAGATGTGCATATTTTGGTCTGTTTGTCGTTGATGGTAATTGCCAGAATCAAATCCAGTGTGATGCATCTATACGCCCACAGGTCTGAGAAGCAAAGACTTTTTGTGGAAGTTTGTTTGTTGTAATACAATGCTAGTCTTTGACAGGGTCCTCTTTCCACAAATTGTATTTAGTGATGCACTACGCACATATATAGGCCTATGTAATCTACGCACTGCTGCTACAGACCCACTGATTCAGGTGACTAACCACAATGTACTGTAATCCTAGCAACTCAAACACTGCAGGTTTTATAGGTCTGTCATAAAGTTTGATTTCTCTAAAATCTCCAACTGCATTTTGTGAAATAACATCACACAATATTGCACCACAAGGCAGCAAGACAAGGAATGTCTGTCTTGATCAAGCTTCTGTTTGCATTTTGAATTCACCAAATGAATTTGACCCTCCATTATCCCGAAGGTGAATTCAAGTGAGTCTAGTGACTTAACACTCGACCAAAAAACACCTTTCTCAAGATATGGTCTACCGGTTTAAAATAAGAATTGATTAATCGGTTGTTAAAGAATGATTTTTTTCCACCTAAAGTAGCTTGAATTTCAGTAGCAGCTGACGTCATCATGATGGCATGGTAATGCACACCATGGGATTAGGGTTGATGTTTGTTTCAAGTTTCAAGTTAATCCAATATGCCATTGTGAAGAAACTTTGTAGAATAAAAGTGATTTCAGCTGTATTATACCAGCTTAGGTCATTCAGGCATGCAAATTTTCCTCGGATCTGCTGATTTCCTCGTTTTTACTTCTCATAAATACCATTTCAAATTGAAAAACACTTCACAAAGTCTTGTGTGGTTTGGAGTTTCCTCGTTTTTTCTAAATTCCCAGTTGCATACCTGGTCATTGGTCTATAGACATGTAAGTGTTAACTTCAATACCTTTGCCACCCCCTTTAGAAATCTCCTGGATGCACCACTGGTGTTCTCAAGGAAAGGTATTGGGCAGTACCACCCCTCTCCCAAAACTGGCACAAACATACACACACAATCTAGCTCCCATACATTTTGATTACAAGTTTCAAAGAACAATTTATAATCCTGCCAAACTTTCCAATCAGTGTCCATAATTCATCCCCCTGCCAAATTTGCAAAATTTGGAAAAATCTGGTTCCTCAAAAATGAATTATTTTTCCTAAAGAATTCTCTCAGTCCCACAATATCGTCTAGGCTGGCACTAGCCACCTCTTATTAGTCTGTCCAGTAAACGTTCGTGTTGGCAGAGTGGCTGTACAGCCATGCACACAATACTGAGTGTGTCTGAGTGTCGGAAGCATGCACTAATGAATTATCGGATGCACTAATTGAACAGGAAATGTATAATGAATTAATTGATTAAGCAGGTGTTGTCAGTCAATAGGTACATTAGATAAAAAGGAAAACATCAATTGTGGACGTGATTTGGAAGGGTTTGTGGTCCTCTTGTCAATGAATTGACCAGATGAATTGACCAACTCACTGCTGGCTTCCGCATTACTTTGTGGCTAACAATAGCGCATTATATCCTGGATATTACACCCTGCTGTGATAATTCTCCTTGATCGGTGTATATAGTGGCTTACTTGAAACAGTGCAGTTCTTACCATCTGCTTTGAGTGACTGGTACAACTTCAGATGTCTCCACAGAATTTTTACCACAGTGTTTTGTGGTGCCATGTAAAATATAACATGTTTTCTGCATAAAACAATTCAAGAAGCCTATAGGGGAAAAAACTACAAAAATATTATGTCAAGGAATGAGCTTTCACTAAATCTGGTGACATCACATTTGTGGAATAGTATTCAAGTATGAAAAACATTTCTGCAAAATTGTTTCAGTTGACTTTGTTCAAAGATTGGTATTTTGGCTTCAATGCTATTAAGATGCAACTGATGTTGTAAGTGTATTTCTCCCATTTAGCCCATTTCTCAGAAAACGTACTAGATTACAAACAGTGTCAATTTGCCTTGCAAGTGCAAGCTGTTAACTAATGTGACTGCACTTAATGGTAGTTAGGAGTACAAAGAAAAACCATTAGCAAACACCACAGGACCTGCAATGCTGTAATACTTTTCTGATGTAAATCTTGTATTTATTTATTACATCCCAAGTTTATATTTACAGTTAGTGAAAGTATCTCTCAGAAACTTGTCAGAATTTTAGGAATTGTATCTCCTGAAATTGTGATGCACTTGGCAATCTGCGAGATGTGTATAGTAACATCCAGACCCACCTTATCACACCAGGGTTATGAGACTCATTAGCAATAAACCCAGGAAATAGCCTCATAAGACAATGGTTTTTGGCCATGAAGAAAAGTAGAGTGCCACATACGAAAACAAGAATTCTTGTCTGATGAGCATTGAATATTTTGCCACACGATAACAATAATCCTGAAATCAAAAGTAACAAGTTTTTCATTCAAGTCTCCATTTGATGTCAGTTCAGTGGAATCTCCTGTGCCAAACCTGTATCTATCGATTTAAGCTTGGCCATGTTTCTATCATGATCTTTACTTTAGCTGTTGGTAAACTGCCCTGCAGACCACAGCTGGGCTAACGGATGACTGGCCTGTGTAATGTGTAGCCATCCATCCCATGCTCATAACGCTATAATTCACTGCACAATCACTAGATTCAGTCTAATCAATTGATATTTCAGATTGTCAGTACGCTCATTTCTTGCCTTGACCTGTGGTATTTAGATTAGTAGGAATCAGTTTTGGTGGGAATTAAGTTTGGAACAAGCTGAAGTTGGAACGAATCTTTGACCCTGTCTGATTATTCTTCAATCCAGACTCTTGTGGAATTAACACTATCAGAGAAAACCATACCTGCAATATTCATGTATTACTTTGTCTGTCCTACAGTTTTCTCAATCAGTGTCTGTAACATTTTAAACAATGCATTTGATTATTGAGTCCCATAATGGAACTTGCATACAGACTACAGTAGTACATCACCTTTGAAAGTGATTGCAGTTCATAGTTTCCAAAAGCTGCTTATAGAGACAGTATGAACTACAAACAGTTTGTTTTCTTGACCTAAAGAAAATAAAACAAACATTTCAACAACAAAAATGTGAACATTTCTAGATATGAAGGGTGAAGGTGTTGCCAACATCTTTTATTAATGGATTCTGATGGACTCAGAACACCAACATTTTTTGCATGACAAAATTGGTGGATTTTGGCGGATTCATTCCTACTCGGTTTCCCATTGTGGTTTATTTGTAACTTGAGTTCACTAATGTTCATCTGGATCAAAACTTAGATATTTCAGTCGTTCTGAGGAAGGGAAGGACAATGAGTTCCATTCCCTTTATATATTGTTCATAAAAATTATTTCAGAAAAAAACCCAGAATATATTAAATGAAGCATATGTTTGCTTAACTGATTATCTTATTTTCTAATTGGATTTTCAATTTTCTTCCAACCAAGTACTGATATTTGATTATCCAAATCCAGAGATTAACTCCCTTTCTGTGTGTTTTGCAAAAATACATGTTTTCCCTGTATATCTGCATTGCCTGCCTTTCTGCGCATTATTCCACTTATTTGATTGTAGACCACCAAGGTTGGTTACTGCCAATCTGCAGTGATCACAACTTATTGTCACAAGGGAAATTAACGTCCAGTAGACTGACTGGCTTGAAGATATGAACTGAAGCAGATGGAAGGTTATGATATGAGCAGTGAGGTTGGGGTGTTTCTTAAAAGCGGTCTTGTGGGGAGTCAAGTGAGTGTGGTGTCCCTTGGAAGCTGTAATTCAATTGGGGAAACGGATCGGTTTCCATATTACACTACTTGAAGTTAGACTCCATTACAAGCTGTGAATTCCTCTGCGGGAGATTTGGTTGGCTCATACAGTGTGTTCATTAATAGCTACAGAGGAAGAAAGACAGATAGATAGAGGATGAGGCACTTTGATGGACATGGTCGTCGCCAGGATTTTTTCTAGACGGGGGCAAAACATTTTTTTCCAAAAAATTCCTGTTTTTCTCAACATATTCTCGATTTATCAGTTTTAGAGGGGGCAGGGACATTTTGCCCCACCCCACCCCATTAAATTTACACCAATATGACTTCCCGCCTCTTTTTCTTTTCTTTTGTCCTTTTTTTTTTTTTTTTTTTTGCTTTTCGGGGGGGGGGGGGGGGGGGGGGGTCCTCGCAATGCCCATGTTGATGGACAGAGATTTATACAAGGGGAGAGACAATGCCGGGGGGTGGGGGGGGGGGCAAAAGAAAAGGAAAATAGGCATGGCGTTAAATGTTAAAAAGATTTTGAAAGAATTTGCAGGATTAGATGGTATTCATATTTGGCCTGTTTCAAACTAAACTCTATATATAGCCCACTGATCATAGACCAAATTTTATATTGTATAAGAGTCTTGGGTTGGATAAGTTTGCCAATCTGAAAGGCTTATTGTATGCAGGTTTTGTGTCTGATCAGTTTGAATTCTTTGGCAAGGTGATCATCCAATCATATCCTTCCATTCTTCTGTTGTAAAGTCTAAATTGGATCCCACATGCAATGCCAATTACCTCAATCCACTGCTAGCGACATACACAGGCAGAAAGGAGCCATCTTGTTACTCCGATCCTGTTAGGGTGTTTGTCTGCAGACCATAATTGCGTTATCATGGAACAAGGGCAGCATTTGGGCGGATACACATGCAGTAAAAAGGCCTCGCACAATATGAAAATTGGCGGATTAGATTCACCTAATGATATTAAACCACAGTGCCCGCTGATTGAAAAAAGACTCAAGCCTTACCGGCCTGCACTTTGGATAGATAGAAAGACAGTAATGTCATTATGTACGGATGTTTGTTGTACTCATGGTCGCCTAGTGAAATTAAGCAAGTCAGTATCATATTGGATTGATTCAAAGAGAAATATTGCTGCTTATCAAATCAAGACCAATGCTTGATGTAGACTGTGCATATACATGTATAGTATAGTAAGTAATATGCCAAGTTCATGGGATGTGTGCTTCAGCAACTCTTAATACTAGCTTTCCTTCTTTGCTTTACCTCCTTGCATTATTCACGGTACTTCGGGTACATTCTTTGAACATGTATTTCTTGTTTTCCATATCGCAGATACACACTCAACTTCTCACAGCATTTACAGTATTATTTGAGCAATATGACCATAACCCGCTCTCAAGTGTGTGCTAAACTATTACAAACTGCGAGGGCGCTGTTACCAAATGAAGTAGTTTTGGTCACATTATAAGTCCAGTCTTGTTATAAATGTCTGTGAGACCTCCCAAGTTAGCAGACACTTTTCTTTTTTGTTGTATTGACAAGTGCAATTGGCAGTTGGTCATTTGTATGCATCTAGGTACATGTATTTTCACTTGGAGGGTAAAAATGTTTGAAATTTGGTTGAGGTGAAATGTCTGAAATTCGCACTGTTATTGAATTCCAGACATTTCTTTGAATGGGCATTTAGGCCTCTGTACAAATTTAAACATTCTGTTGAAGAAAGAAGAGATTTGATACATTCTGAGTTCATGGTGTTTTACATGGATGAGTGGATCCATTTTCAAATAAGGAGTTGCTTACCCATACCTATCAACCTGATTCCAGGAAAACTTTGGTACATTCTATAATTAGCTTAGAAAGAATATCTAAAAGAACAGCAATTCCAAAAGCTGCATTGCACACACTTCTCTAGTATTCAGAACTGTACTTCTCTGTCGCATTCTTCCTAAACAACTGCACAGACTCATCAGTCTTGTCCATAGTTCAAAGTATAGTATCCATTTCATCTCAGTGCTTTCTGTCAGGTAAACTTAATATCACAGCATTCTAGTAAATAGGGCAGAGTCCTATTCAAGGAGCCTGGACTACAAATGGACATGATTATTCGTATCAAATGGCAAGACTGTGATTTCAGTATTGTTCGTTTGATTGAACTCTTCCTCTAACAGTCAGGCACCACCTGCACCATGGTTTTGTTGCAGTCTTTTTTATCAACTCAAGACAAACGGCAGAGTTTTGTCGGAAACGAGACCATTATTCACAGCAAAGCGTATATCCTTTCATTTGTTTTGTCAGGCTTTGTTTGGTCCCGTCAGAAGGAAGACTACAGGAACTGGAAAGCTGAATGGATCTGTTCTCTTGGGGCATTCAATTCACCAGAAATTACAACTGTGTGTTAAATGTCAGAGCTGTGATGTGATACACGTCTTTTCTCTGAGCACTGAATGGCCAGATTGTAGGCAATGGCTCAAAATAGCAGCATGGCCAAGGTGATGAGAGTCTTATAGTAAGTTGAACAAAACCTGAATGAAGAGAAGAAGGTGGCTAATAAATGTCAGGGGTGGGCTGGGGTATCCGGAACAGCTGGCAGGAGAAAAAACAAAGAAATGCTTTCATGGCAAACCATGCTCAAAACTCAGTTGAGTTTCCAACTATCATTTTTAGTACTTTCAAGTGGTAGAGATTTCAAAACTGCCCCAATTTCTTTTACATAGGATGTAACTCCAACTACGAATGAGTCTTTTGAATCCAGTTTTTTTTAATCCTTTAATTCTTTCTCAAAAGAAGGTTAACAAAATTTCTGTTGCATCCTGAGGAACTTACACTTCCATTTTTTTGTTTAAAATCACTGCACATTTGCTTGTAGGAAATACTTAACTGGGACAGATTGTGGAACCAAATATGCCAACAGCATTGAACAAATATAATGACTACCGTCATGATTAACGAACAGGAACAATCTGAACGGTGGTCAATTCTGCACGTAAAACAGACTGTGGCAAAAAACTCCAATCTAAGACAATTTGAAGAGTCAACAGCCGGGAGGGGGGTTTAGTCAACGATTTCCTCCACAGTTACCAGTGGGCAAGTCAATACACAGGAGACAAATTGTGTTTGTTCAGAATCTGGTTGCAAAATCCATGCAAACAAAACACTGCACTGAATCAGACAAATTTAGTGTCAAGCTGTTCTATTGCTCCATCTTTTCATCTCCAATAATCCATCTTTTTTTCTTTATGGTTTATAGAACTCACATGAAACAAATTGTGTTGAAGTAAAGAAATGAATTTGTAAAGAAAAAAACCCTCAACAATTTAATTTGAAGGTACTGTATTGCTTAGTCTGCCAAATCAGAAATGTCTTCAGTATAGGCAAATTGAAGGTTATGTTGTCAATTTCAGTTAAGTTCAATAGTATCAAGATACACTCAACCAAAAACGAAAGTCCGCCATTCCAATACTTTTTGTCCAACTCAAAAACTACTGAGCACCTCTCCCTCAAGTAACGACTAATCAGTACAGAAATTCCTTAGCAATCCAGCAAGTTGTGATCCACACTCAACTTACAAAAGTGCAACTTTTTTTCCGGTATCATTTGTCATCAATTGCATATTTTCGTACACATTATCACTGTTTGGGCCAAATAAAGAGTATGGCTGGATTGCTAAGGAATTTCTGTACTGATTAGTCGTTATTTGAGCAAAAGACGCGCAGTAGTTTTTGAGTTAGACAAAAAAGTATTGGGGGGACTTTCTTTTTTGGCTGAGTGTAGAATGGTCAGGGCATAATGTTTCATTCATCAATTCATTTCACCTACTATGAAAGATAAAAGATATATGCAGGAAGTATGACTAAATTTCTTAACTGAAAAAATGAGGATACTGCAGCACTTATTCTCAAAAACGCTTTCATTTTTGTCAACAGATACTTCCATATGTGTCTCCATCATGTGGCACAGCAGGCCAGGAGTGGTGATTTCTTGTCAGGATTTGGGGGGGGGGGATGGACCTTCAGCTTGCAACATTTTGATCTAACTACAGGGGACATTATCACACATTTTGTATGCAAAGTGTAGAGTTAAATTTATGTGAAATATGTGATCGCATGGTAGGGAAAACGTTGGACGATTGAGCAAACATCGCTTATGAGAAGTTGCCATTGGCATCCCCAAGGCAAAACAAAGTACAGAAATCTGTTTTCCTGTGGCAAATGACGTGCCAAATTCTTTAATTTTGTAACCATACAGTCTGAGTCAACTCCTGTATCTATTATTTGGAAGCTAGTTCAGATACTATCGTGTCTAAGTGGATCCATTGGAGTGGTATACTACATGCTCAGAATCACGCAAATTAGTCGCATTTATAAACCTTATACATGTATCTATACATTCCTTAACTGCACATCAAATATGTATGTAGTTAGAAAACATCTCTATTTACAAATGAAACAATTTAAATTACAAAGAAATACACAAACTTCAATAAATGTACATTTACAGTTAGAATTGGTACATGTTTTTCATTCAATGGAATTGAACAGTTTTATCTTTAAATGTGTAGCAAAGAAAGTTATTTATTATCCAATATGTCAATTACTACATTTATGGTACCTTTCTATTTTACCAAATGGAATCAAGTTAAAATGAATACTTTTTCTCTGATCACTAACAAGAATATCTAGAGTCTGTTTTGTTTGTTGTAACAGTTGTATTTACGTACATGTGTTTAACAAGTACTGATATAATAAAGAGTGAAAAGTATTTTCTGCAAGAATTTCAATATTTTTTTTTGAATCCTAATAAATAGCACTCTGTTTGCATGAAGCCAAGCCTGTGTGTTTTCATTGGCCCCGTTCTTATCAAAACTGTGCACTTACAGATGAATGGGCTAGACGCATTTACAATCTTATCAATTTAAACAAAATGTTCAGTTTTTATCTCCAGTACGTATGGCTGATAGTAATATCCACCATGACTCCCCCACTTTACCATGTTGTTTTCCCTTCCAGTACGTATGGCTGATAGTAATATCCACCATGACTCCCCCACTTTACCATGTTGTTTTCCCTTCCACAGTGGAGTGCTGTGGCCTAGTGGCTGGAGCATTCAATTTGTGGTCCGTGGGTAATCCTGCAGGTTGTGGGTTTGAGTCCAGCCTGGGGTTATGGTGCGTGTGCCCTTGGGCAAGGCACTTTGTCACCCATTTCTTCTCTCCACCCAGGAGTAAATGGGTACCTGTGAGGGCAGTGTTGGTGACTGTGAGAGGTTGATTACGGCCAAGGGTGCTGAAATGGCTGCCTACTGGCCATGTATGCTCCCTAGGGAGTCGAGAAGGTTTCAGGAGTGTTTGCTCGTTGAAACAGGGAAAATAATAATTGTAAAGCGCTTTGATACCCCGTTGCGTTGTAAAAGCACTATATAAATGCCTGTTATTATTATTATTATTAAAGACTGGCAAAGTTATTCCAAGTAATCTTCAGGACCTTGTTCAATTATCGACATGTACCCTGGGACATTTCTGTCCAATGGCAGGCTTGCTTAGCGCCTACTGCTCCGCCCACTACGCACACTGCCCTGACTACCTCCAGTAGCTGGCCGTGAGCCTGATCTACCTGGGCTACCTTGCTGAGGTGACTGAAGACCACCTAGATCTACTGTGTGTATGGCTCCATTACTGCTGGCACGACTAGATGGGCTACTACGCACTGAGGAGGGGGTCCTACGTGTGAAACAAAATGGTCAAATGTGAAACCCAATGCTGCAGAAATAAGCGAGTCACAATACATGTCTAGAATGCCAACCTGGCCAGCAATGCTAGGCAAGCAATGGTAGATTTCAATTCACATGATTCTGTAGCAAATTCTTGGAGGTGTTCATGTGTGAACAAACCTGCCAGTGACATTGGTAATGTTTGCCACAGGTCACCTGATAGTCATACCAAAGTTCAGTCTTTTCACAAGGGTCAGATTTGAACAAGTCTCTGCATCTGTTATGCATCTAGGGGTTTGGCAATATTCTTGGTATGTTAACAGAGTACATGCGTCACATGCAGAGGAGAAAAGAGCCCTAGAAAAGGAGGTCCCTACAATTTAGGGTCTGATTTAAATAAATCAAGTCCATGCAATTCCTTTTAACCGAGGGAAAAAGGGGGACTCTGCAGTAGTCTGGCATGCTTTGTAGTGGTAAGAGCTGTGAAGGGAGGGATTGTAGTGGTGAAGCTATTACATATCCTGACTACTTACTTAGGTGATCCAAGGCTTGCACTGCTGCGTGCACTATATGCTGAGCCAGGCCTGGAGTAACCTCTAGCACTGCCTGTTGGTGTAGGAGGTACTTGCAAACCAGCCTGGTACAATAACACATACAAACACGAGACATTGATTCATTGGACTAGCATGTGGGTGTTTGTTCATTCATCAGAATTAGAAGCCACCATTCTTGGCGTATTGATCCATTCTTGTAAGGTTCTGCTCGTATCTTAGGCCACCCTTTGGTCAAAGGAGAATTGAGTACGAGCAAACATCCAGCACATATGTGTGGTATTACCTCAGTAACGGCTTCTAATTCTGTTTGCTGAATTAGTCTACAAGTCTTATACAGATGGTATTCAATGAGTTAGGCATGCACTCTTTCCTGGGATCAACTCATTCCACTTTTTTTCAAGATTGAAAAAAAAACCCATTTTGGACGGATAAACAAGACCTGATGATTTGCATGGTTGAGAAAAAAATGAGTAAAATATTTTGCACTAGTACCAGCTAGGCTTATCTCTTTTGTGAGTTGTACAGTTGTGACAACAACCAGTTAATGTTTCAAAAAGTGAGCTTTAATGACTTCCGTACTTCAGTACATTTTTGCGGGTAATTACTGTCTAGTAAAAGAAGTTAGGAACAATCTTATTAGAGAAAATGAAAATGAAGAACAAGAATAACACATGAAACAAAGTGAATTGAAGCCCATGCAGCTTACCTGTGAGAAAAGCATGTGTGTGGTAGGGATGACATCGGGATGACTGTGGATGACATCACCAATCTGCTTGCTGATATTCTTGTTGAAGTCTCTCAGCTCACGCAATCCAAAATCTTTCTGTTATGACAAAGAGAAGAACAACCAATGCTTAATGTTTAAATACTTTCATCAGCTTTACTCTAGGGAAAATTCCATGAGAATATGGACATGGCTGAGAAATGGAATATTTACGAAATCTTCAAAACTGCAAATATCACAGCCTCAAATGTGGTATCAAATGAAAGGGGACAACGAGAACCTTCATTTGAGTGATTTGTCTTAATTGCTAAGATTATAGATTTTAGGTAGTCATTTTGGCACCTTGTTTTCACATGCAAAATGTAAGTGATATTGTGAGTTTTTAAGGCAGAGAGAAAGGTTCACATTTTATGACTGATTATTTTTTAATAATTGAAATGGTAGTGCCTTACACCCTAATGATGTAAGGACACTAAAACGATTTTTCCATCAGTGCACAGTATGAGGAACCTTTCAAATACAGGTTTTTAATAAAAAATCTGCCATGTCCTTTTTTTGTACCCATAAAAAAACTTATTGCAAAACCAACTGTTCTTTATTTCGTTGGCCTTTTTCACTTAATTTCAAGGGATTTTCAGTGAGAAAAAATCCACCCTCAATGCTTTGACTTTATACAATAACAGCACATAGTGACGTAAGAACCCCTCTAAATGTGACGTATCCTTTATGATATATCATTGGAACCTGGCACTTGACCAGGCTGGTGACCTTGGACTGAAGTGTGATTGGTTTGTAAGGACTTGTGAAGACTTGACAACACTGAAATCCATCTAGTTTGTAGATGAGAGTATTCTTGAGAGAGACCCACCTCTTCATGAGATTCTCCTTTAACCTTCTTAGCTGTCCGTACTTCCCTGGCATAACGAGCCATCTGCTTAGAGACTCTCTCAATCTTAGCTTTCTGCTCTTCATGCTCTCGTATCATCTGATGCTGCTTGTTCTGTAGAGTCAATTAGTGGGACTTTACTAAGTCAAATTGAACATGAATGATACTAATGAAGAGGCTAGGAAATGAAATAAGTTCAAAACCAATCTTGATGATGGAGAAGTCACTCAAAGCTTTAAATGAAATGAGAAGTAAAGGAAGGGATATCTGCAAATCGTCCTAAATGGGGTAGAATGATTTAAATAACCATTCTAAATTTTAATCCATGAAACCTGTTACGTCTCGTCATGTTAAAAGCTTAGATACTGAAGAGATGATGAAGTATGAAAGCAAAACAAAATTTACTCCCAAATTTTCAAAACAGATTTTGTGCTTTGGTTGCAAAGACCACAAGATTCTACCAAAAACGACACTCAGGAGATGAATCTTTGAAGCCGAGGTCTTTTATTGTGAAACACATATCAAAGCTGACAGCAGCAATATCACTGTGTGACTTATTGGGTTGTGTATAGAAATTAATCATTTCACTTTTCAGGAAAAGGTCTTTGGCTTTCTGAAGACTTATAAAACAATATCACTCCATCAATTAAAAACCAATCTATTTCCTGCAAGCTTTTCTAGCAACTGGCCAAACTCATCCACCATGATCCTTAGGAACTCACAGCATCTCCATCTTAAACCTCAAGAGCCATAAACACAACTGTTCAATATATTTCCCGGTTACATGTAGGTTCCCATTAACTGCAACATTTTGTCATCATGATCTACACTCCTTAATGCAAAACTAGACGCAATGTGGATGTTTAAGCTCAACAGCAATTTGGCTAGGATGTGCCTTTGCTCATCCTACATCATTGCTTGCAACAGTTTGTCAGCACTGCAGTAACTTGCCCTACCTCTTTCTCTTCCACCATTTCTTCATATGCCTTCTGATCTCGCAGCAAGTTCTCCATAGTATTACTCATAGTCTGTAGGTCATCCTGCAACTCCCTGATCTGCCGTCTCTTATACTTGTATTTATCCATGGCTGCACGCAGCTGTTCATCTAATCGCTGCTTCTCCTCAAATTCTTCACCTGGTCAATTGGACACATTCATTACTAAATCATGGGATGACATCTTTTGTGTGCTGCTTAGGGACAAGTGGGTGTATTGAATCCCAATAGCTGCGTGAAAATATTCCAGGGTTTACCCCACCACTCTGAATGATTTGTCCATTTGAAAAGTTTGTCCAATAAAAAGACAAGATCCACAAGACTTAATGTTTCCTTTATATTTACTTGTTATTCTACAAACAGAAGCATTCACAAGCTTCCCAAATTAAAAAAATTAAGGGGTTTTGTGCTTTGAATAGACCTGAGACCTAATGACGTAATGGCTTTGTTTACATATGCACTTTCCTATTGGAGCGAAGTCAGGACGCCAGACAGTAGGGACCTTCTACTACATAGGAAAGCGCACATGTAAACACAGCGTGACATCATTAGGTCTCAGGCCTATACCCGGAAGATAACAAATATAAAAAGAAAATATATACAATTAAAATCCTTTCCCAAATACTGGTAATGCCCACTGAACATGTAATTTAGGAGCCTTGCGGCTAAATCACTGTATCATGTTATCAGTTTTTAAATGGCCTTTGTAAGAGGCACAAAAACAATTGAAGAAAGCAAACCAGCTAGGCCAAGATTGCCCCTTCCTATCACAAGTCACACCCCACGCTGGCTAGCTTGGCTACTTACTAGATTCAGTCACCCTGTTGAAGCTCTTGCGATATGTCTCATTGCGTCCGTTCATCAGTCTTAGTGTATTCTCCAATGCTTTGATCTCTTTCTCTGCTTTACGGATCTTAGCATCTAGCTCATCCCCTTTACGTTGCAACTCCTCCTTCTCCTGTGCTGCCTGTCAAGTCAATCAGTATGTTTCATGATATACACGGCTACATGTGATTTGACCAATTTCAAGGTGCTGCTAAGCACATGGCGTTCATCTAACAGAAGTTCAGTCCATGTCATGGAGACTGTATTAAAGCACTAACTGCAGCAGAAAGCATGCTAACCTCAAAGGCTAAATACGCTGAAAATAGCATCACATTGGAACACCAGATGCATCAATTGTTGACTGAGCACATCTATACCATAGAACATGTTTTAAGTGTTCCTGTTTATAAATAGTGAGCACAGATTTCCTGCTAACATTTAACTCACTCCCTGGTCTAGTTAACTACCGTAATTTTCGGAATTTAAGCCGCGCGGCGTATAAGCCGCAGCACGCAAAAATCTGCAAATTAAGATTTGAAGTCGGCGTATAAGCCGCACCGGCGTATAAGCCGCACCGACCGCTGCGGTTTCAATTTTGTAAGGCCTCCAAATTCTAGTCAAAATGCTCTGAACCAGTTCCATTCACACTACAGAAGCTATTAAAAGGACCACAAAAGTTATATCAAATCATTTACAATTGATACTTTTACAAACAAATATGGGAATTGATGAGAAATAAACACCGGGAACTGCTGCTGGCTGCCCCGTCATAGCCCGGCAGCCTGCGCCACGCACGCCGGTGAATGACAACATTTTCCCACAGCACGTGAGAGAGTATGAAACCCACCGTGTGTTGTCTGACTGGAGCGCTACAAATCTTGCTTTGTGGCAACAGATGCTGATTTGTTTTGTCCTAAGAATAAACAGGTCCGTTTTTACCTCAAAACTTATCAAATTGTTGCGATTAGTTGCGAGAAAAATTCAAGTTTCGATCGTAACTTTCTTTGGAAGTAGTCAAAACGAAGCCGACATTTTAATAGACGATTCCATTAATTTTGTAAGGGGTGATTTAGTCCCTCTTTTGAGTTTTACATCGTTTCTTGAATACATTTCAAGAAAACAAAATATATTGTGACGTTGAACAACTGATTATGTAATAAAAAAATGTTTCGAACGCCATAAAAATTGTAGTGGTCTTTTTTCTTTTTTTTTAAACAGCGAAAATATTGGTAATTATTGTTCCCAAGAAAGAACACCCCTTTGTTACCACAAATGGTGTGGTCCGCTGTTGGGAAAGCATGCCTGCATATCGCTGCTGCACTGTACCAGTATCACGTACGGCTGGTGTCGAAGACAGCTTTCATCACCGTACTTTTTTACCGCTCGGTACCTTTACGTGAGACGTGGTTTCGGTTTGTTAATGACTTTCTTAATTTATAATTCATTTCAGCAACATATCTCTTCTTATACCAGTACATTAAATACACATGTGAATTTCATTTTTATTCTTCAAGGCTCGGCGTATAAGCCGCCCTGTGTATAAGCCGCAGTAAACATTTTCATGGGCAAAATCAACGTATAAGCCGCGGCTTATATTCCGAAAATTACGGTAGATACAATCAGTGATTATCAGAAGAATATAAACCAGATATATTGTCGACAATGTTCATACAGTTTGTTGATAACTGATGGCTGAAAGGCTGTAAGGCGGGTAGAATCCAAGCCCACAGAAGGGGTGATATCTCCAGCAAGGAGCTCGAGAATGGAATATAGGGTAATGTAGAATTACTTGTAGTCCCAAAAAGAATACTGTGCTCAAATTTTCAAAGTATGCAAGAAACTTCTGTTGGGCCTTGACCTCAAAACTCAGCTCCAGTCATGCATTGGTAGGTAGGCGATGCTTGTAAACAAGCTTGTACAGTTTCTAAATGGAAAAGACTGCTTTTCCAATGTCTTGATTTTTTTATAGCAGAACTACTGGCAATATAACTAATACATGTGCAGACAAACACACAAATAACTCTGACAAACACTCGGGGGGTGTACCAAATTGACAGACATGACAGTGACAAGACAACTCTCATGTTTCTCACACCAACTGCAGATAAACCCTCACAGAAGTGATACAGTTTTCCAAGTTATCTTGCAACATTCTAATGAATAACTGCCCACAAGTAACAGAAGTACAGTCTCTATTTTGATCTGGGAGTAGGTCTCTCTCAAAGACGGCCATCTCTGTAGAACTGCAACTGCGTATTTTACGCAATCAAGCACGCATTGCGCAGTGTTGAAAATGTTCCAAGCACGCGCGCTTGTTGCTCGAAATGTGTTCAAAATACGACGCAGCCGATGCGCGTTATGCAAGTTGACGCACTCAAAATGCCGAGGCACGTGGCTCGTCTGTAGGAAATGACGTCATTTGAGAGAAACCTATTCATAATGGATCCATCCAAGTTGATCATTTCTCAGCTACTGCGCAACCATGTATGTGAGAGTACCTCACTCTTGATAATCATACCTTCACCTGTATTATTAACCTGTGATTCAGCTGCAGGTGTCAATGGACAGGTGGACCACCCAAACCATCTATTCCAACTCCTGACTGACTTCATGCCAGTCACAAGGAAATAACACCATCAACCATCACATACCATAAACATCTCTTGATATTGAATGAAAACACCAAACATACAAGGAAGTAATACTCACTACTCCATACATGACCAGTCACTTACCCTGATGACATAATATGCCTGAGACCTGTCCTCTTCACCTTCAGGTGGAGCCATGGAAACCATCAAGATTTCATATCTAGTCAAAATCAGTATCAAATAAATAGCAAAACTCAGCACTTTCTTCACATAGTGTAAGGTATTAACCGGGTTGCAAGAATGCCAATGTTACCACCAGTAGGGTGTTTGGCATTTCAGTGCCGTTTCCATTTGTACATAAGCACTCCTCCTACATCAATATTGTAACAACTGCCACAATGTTCTTGGACGTCCAGTGCAGATGTCGTATGTTGTTTGATTTCACGGCACATGAATCAATGTTTCAAGTGTCTTCCCTTTGTTCCTTCAGTATTTACTGCCCAAATTTCACAACCGTCAGTATTTCTGCTTTCTCTGATACAATTCCTTGCCCTACCTCTTGCGTAGCTTGTCAATCTTTGTAATGCGTTCATGCAGCTCAGCGCTAACAGTGCCACGTTCCTCTTCAGCTCCCTTTAGTTGCGCTTGCAACATCTCCTTATGAATTCCTATCTCATTGTGGCGTTCTTTCATTGCCTGAAGGGTTGGACATAAGGATAAATACATGCCTGAAATTAATGCACAGATATTGCATTTAACACAATTTTTTCAACTAGAAAACTGGCACACACAATATACCCAATTGCAACCTGTTTACATGGAAAGTATCACCACAGCATCAAGTTCTCATTGACAAACTGAGACAAAGAAACCAGCTGATAAGCTCGATATTAGCATATAATATGACAATATATCAAGCAAGAACGGGGACAAACAATAATAAAACAAAAACCTCCCAGTCCATGTACAACAATGAAAAAATAACTCTGTCTCATCAGGGAAAATAATTCTGTAATAAGTTCATCTGGGTGTCCAATTGTTTTAATTGAGGGAGGAAGCTATGAAATATGAAATATGACAACAGATATTAATTTAAAAAAATTTGAAGGCGGAAAATTCTGACCGTTTCCAGTTGTAGTCTACGATTCTCCAAGGAGAAGACATCATCAGCACGAGAATTCAGCTGGTCTCTCAAACGCTTGATCTCCAACTTCAAGATATTCTCCTCTACCATTTGGTCCTGTCAAAAATCAAACAATGAACAAAAAATAATACAAATTGAACACAAAATCAAAACTTAATGTCTACATTGTCAATCTGTCCTTGGAATGAAATGTTTTGATGAACTAAATCAATTACACTTTTGATTTAATTGAACTCATCAGCTACAGAACACCAGTCTACCAGTGCAGAGCAATGTCCTGTATGGATGTAAAGCCGACAGGAATTCTTTGTTGTTCTGTTGTATTTTAAATTAATTTCAGACTTGCATTTCATGTCAAAAGTCAAACAACTGTTGTCACATCACAGTCTAATGTTCAAATGGGCCCATGCACTTTTCCTTCATTCTTGAGTAGTTTACACAATGAGAAAGATCTCAATCACATTATGTGATCCTAAGCAATCACTTCACAGAATTTACTAATAACTACATGTAATTTGCATAAGATTTCTTGAATTGAATACCTTGTTTTTCAAAAAAATGCCTTTTCAGAACCTTTAAAATCAGATCAGAGTCAGGGCAGGCAATCTTGATCTGGATCATTAACTAGAAAATTATGATCGATGTCAGGATTCCAGTGTGTGAATACTAAATCAGTTTGCTCTCTATAGGTAAACCTGGGGTGAAGTGCAGTGTGCAAAGAACCTACATGAGTTGCAGCTGGTACCCTTTGAGAGCTCAGATAAGGGCTAAATAGTCATCATTAGCATTTTGTAACAAAGAAAGTATAATTCAAAGTTTCTGGGTTCAACGCCCTACCAGATCAAAATGTTTTATCTATTAATGTTGACTACAATCACAATGATGGCAAAAGGTTGTATTTTCTGACCTGTTTCTTGAGTTTGATGCGTCTTAGTTCTCTCTGAGAGCTATCATTATGCAGGTTGAGTTCCTCTATCTTACTGGTCAGGTCAGCTTTCTCTGTACCACTCTTGTCCAAATCTCGCTTCACTCGGCGTATGTCATCCTAAAAATATGAAATCAAGAACACAGATCGTGACATTTTATTTGATAAAAGACAACACATGGAAATAAGCATTCTATATTTTCAAACTGTTCAAAAGAAGAACTTCATTAAATCAATCACAAAAGGAAATTATGTGCATATGTAATTATAAAGTTGAACAAAGAAAGTGACTGGAGCGGGATTTGAACATAAGTCCCCTTGCAAAGCAGAATTTATTAGAAGATCAAACAATCACTCCTCCATTTGTAAATTTACCTTTGGGTAATTTAAGTAGCCTTATGACAGAAATATACTTTCACAGAAGAAATTTTGTATTTTCTGAATTAGCTTTGAATGAGCCAAAGTCTGTGACAAATTTTGTGTGCCCCTCAATTAAAATTCTCTCATATTCTCTCCAGAGACAAAGAGTCTGCGATGTATTTATTAGTAGCCTGTGAAGGAATCAGTGATAACTGAGATGTTTTTACCTCAACTGAACAAATCCCCTAACATGATATAGTAGAGCCTTCATACCTGGAGTCGTTTGAGCTGAGTATTGACTAGCTGGTAGGTATTAGTTCTTTCCTCCAGTACAGCAGTCAGTTCCTTGATACGAGCATTCAGTTGATCCATCTCCTCAGTACTACGCTCTCCCTGGATGCGAGCAATACGACGCTCCAACTGCTGAACAGTGAAATCCTGTAAGAGACATCCAAACCATCAACTAATGTCAAATTGTACAGACCTAATCCATCAGTACTGGAATACCTGCAGTCACAGAAGGAAACCTAGGGAGTAAGGCAGCTGGCAGGCCACTCTACAATCCTCCAAACCATGTGAGATTTGCTCATAAAATGGTTGGATTTTTCATGAATTCCTCCCCAAAAAGCTTCAATAAATGCAAGAGAAATCTCTTAAGATAACCCTGGGCTTATGTCTGCTTCTTTTGAACATATTTTTTGCAAAAACAATCCTACTTTCTTTTACATCCCATGCTACCATCCCTCGCTATGATAAGCACCAAAGTGTAGGCAACCGTAACGTTTTATATCTTTTTATAATAAACTTTAATCAAGGAACATTCTGCTACAGTATGAGGCAGTTTTTCATTTGTAGAAAAGCTCCTTCATGAAGTCAGGTAATGAAATTGAATACAATAGTACAAAAGGAAAGTAGCTCATGTATTGTAGTGACCTGATTGTAGATAATCTCTTGTTGCTTGAGGGAGTCATGGTCTAGCTTGTTGATGCGACTACTCAGGTTCCTGCTAGCTGCCCTAGAGCCTTGGATCTCAGCCAGAGTGTTCTTCTCAGTCGTCTTGGCTTCAAAGAGCTCCTGAGCCTTCTTATACTGGAGGTCTCGCAGTCTCTTCAGCTCCTGGTCTAACAGATGAAGACTAGTCTCTTCATCTTTCAGGATACTGTCCATCATGGCAGCTCTCTCCTCTGCTGACAAGGAGGCATCTGTGATGGCTTTGAGTTTGGCCGACAGTTCTTGACGATGATCCTTAGCATCCTCTACCCTGATAGCATGGAAAGAGTAAACGAAAAGATTTCTATAAAATACCATTGACAGGACTTCTGCTATAGACTCCCTGCAGAAGTACCCCTCCAAATAGAAAGTTGGGGGACCACTGGGAGGAACATTTGAATGCATTGCTGATGGAACCTGACGCTGACGTAAATATGCCACAACACCATACCTGCACAAACCAGTGTGTGCACTCAGCATGTCTCCCCAATGGAAGCTCTCACAAGTACTGCTGAAGTGCCATCTAGTCTCTCCAGCCTCTGACAACAGATAAGAAAATGTTGCATAGATTCCGTGCCTGAACAAGGTGGGGCGCTTTTTTACCAATTTTGAGAGCCCAGTGGATGGGGCACACCGTATGCTTGAAGTACACACAGCAGGTGTTTATTCTGAATGTGCATATCAAAAGCTCTAGCATCTTTGTGTGAGCGTCAGGTGTTGTTGGCAATGCATTGGGAATGTCATTCCTAACCGTCTCCCCCAACTCCCCCTTCCTTGCCGTTGAGGGGGTACTAATGGATGAAGCTCATACATGAAATCACTATTCAAGTAATGACATGTGAATGAATAAGCTGTCAGAGTTTGAATGGTTGGTTTAGATGTGTGAGTCAACTGACCTGTTCTTCTTGTCATCCACATCTTTCTTCAAGTCATTGACCTGTCGTCTCATACCCTCCAGGTCTGTTGCTGTTCTGGCCACAGTAAACTTCAAAGTTTCAAGCTAGAATAAAACATAATGATTGCAACAACTTGACAATTTCATGCAATATCAAAGTGATTATGATTACTGATGGATTGCTAGATCAAATTCCATTACTGTGCTATTTCTGTGTAATTGTCTGCTACCAAAGGTTGACTAAGAGTGAGATGAGAAATTTAACCTTAACAAGAATTTTGTTCACTTGTGATTAAGTTTCACGATCAAATTGTTTTGTGGGGGTTATCATGTGCATTAAGCGTCTCATATTGGTCCCTGTAAATCAAAGGCAATATTATACATTATTGATGATTTTAGAGATTTCATTTTCATAAGCTTTTGAGAGATCTTTCACTTATTCATTCAGGACCAATGACAGCAATGCTCCATGAACACTCTTGATCAGATGCCATTGGCCCACACATGAGCAATGTAGGGATCACGATGCACATTCAATCATTCACATATTTTGCTCAGGCCCAGCACTTGTTAAATCAATGTTTTCTAGTAAGTGGCACAAAGCTGTTTGTAAATTATATGAGTAACATAAGTAGGCATGAAATATTTCCGTATTCACGTGACAGAAACGTAAGATGGATATGGCACTAACTTACCATCGCTTAAAGGTACATAGTATCATTCACTTTTTGTGCATTTTTTTTTTCATTTAAAGCAACAAAATCTTACAAAGGGTACATTACAACTAACTTATTGAAGTTTCAGCTCAGTGGATACCATACATTTTGAGAAAACAGAGAAAACTTATGAACAATTTGTGGGGTCTCGTAATTGCATTTCTGTTGCTAACGCCATAAAAACTGTGCCGGTGGGCACATTTGTTTAAACTATCTTTTTTTCGAAAGATGTTTCAGGTAGAATAAGCAGGGTATTTGTACCAGTCCATCTTCACCATGTTCACTTGAGCAAGGATTTTCTTGTTAAATTGGTAGTTATGTTTCCAGGTGATTGCAAATGTTCCTGTGGCCTTTTAAATTACAACTGTCATTTTGTCACAGAGTAAGAAAAGTTCCCTATAGAACCAATACTGAAGTCTACCTCATCCTGAAACTGAATGCGTTGTGTCTCTGCATCTCTGTAGTCTAGTCGTAGCTTAGCTGCTGCCCGATCTGTCCCTTGCAACTTCTTCTGTTGTTCCTGGTTGTTTTCAATCTCATTCTCTAGGAATTGTTGCTTCTCCTTCACATTGTTCTCATGCTCAAACACTTCTGCCTTCACTTGCGTCAGATTCTAAGGTGGTTGAAATATAAACAATAAATTTACTGTAATTCAACTCATCATTTTTCTGAGCCTTCCACTGATGTGACTATGTTTGAACTTTTTCAACAGATCAATATTAGACTAACCCTAACGGTTCTGAATAGTCCAATCTTAACGTAATTGTTCACACACCGTAGGGAGTAAGGGTACTTTTCAGATGTTAAAATGATTAAGCTAAACCTTGACTCCCATGCAACCTCCCATAGTAGAGTTAGTGGAAAGTACGTTGTTGAAACAAAGCTTAGACATTACGCCCCATTCAGCTATGGTTTATTATGGTGCAAAATTTCTGTGTCACATCTTCATGAAAAAAAGGTTGAAAAGGGTACAAGACGCTTTGAAGGAAGGTGACTATTGTTCCAACTGCACTAACAGCATGTGCTGAAACTGAAATGGTTTCCAAGAAGAAATCGGTCTAACATTCTTTCAATTTTATTCAAAGGCATCTTCATGCATCAGTAGATTTTGCATTGTACTTCAGATTTGATTGTCTGCAGTAACCAATCTTGAGATAAATCTTCACCATGTCTTCAAGCTGAGACAGTACTCACATCAGCTAGCATATCCATCTCCTTATCTCGTCTCTGCATCTGTTCAATAGTTGCCTCCCACTGTCGGATCAACTCTTGACGATCATTGTGTGCCTTGCGAAACTCTTCAGCTGTCTTATCCAACTCCAACTGCAACACAGACAGTAGCATTACAATATGTTGCTATCTCAACCTAATTGCAGGATTCGTGTCACATTACCTACTACACTTTCTCAAAATAAGTAACTACAAGTATGTAAAAGTAAATTTATACACTCTTTATGTTGCAATGATTCTGTCACATTATAAGATAGAATTTTGCGTCGGGGTGATATAAATCAAATTAGGTTTTGCCCTTCACCGACGTTTAAACACTGTATACTCAGTGTGTTACCTCCCGAGTGAAAGTTGGAAAAAATCACTCGGGTGGGAATCGAACCCACGACCTCCTGCTTTCTAGTGCAGATGTCTTACCACTCGACCACCGAGCCGGTTCGAATCTAATGTCCATAGCAGCGGGTACCGCATAAACTATTATAAGATGGAATTTTGCGTCGGGGTGATATAAATCAAATTAGGTTTTGCCCTTCACCGACGTTTAAACACTGTATACTCAGTGTGTTACCTCCCGAGTGAAAGTTGGGCTTTATCAACAGTGCATCACGGGGACACGTTACCATCTATTTGTAGACAATAACAAATGCTATTCATCTTCACCTAAGTATTTCTTATTCCGCTGTAACATCCCAGGGCATTAAACTGTGCTTTAACCTTTATCAATTCATCATTAACTTCAACCGGTATTTCTAGTGCCATGGTGTTAATGGAGAATCTACAACATGCCTTTTTGCATTATTTTTTTTACTCTTTATTAGACTATTTTCCCCCCAAATATTTGTAATATCTGCTCTGTGTGTACCTGTGCAGTCAGTGTTTCTGTCATCTCATGGTCTAGTTGTTTCCTCTTCTTATGGCTTTCGTCAGTCATACGTTCCATACGCAGTGACAATTCCTGAATGAAGTAACACGTGGTAAGAAAACTATACGGTAAAACAACATGTGGCAGACAAAAAAAATATGGTAAAACAAAATACATATAGACCATAGAAGTACATTCAACTCAACTATTGATCAGTTCAGTTTGCATTTGTAACCCATAGCTGTAGAACCCAAATAAAAGTTTTGTAGATTCAGTATTGTTTGGCCAAGGATTACCTTGATTTTAGCATCATCCATCTGAGTATACTTGGTTAATGTCATGGAGTCTTCATCTTTCCTGGCGGATTCCTCCAGCCAAGCCTCTAATGCCTGCTGATCCCAATTCAACTGTGACTTCAGCTCCTCTAACTTCTGAGTGTTCTTGAAGATGGTGTTCTGATCACAACAAGTGAATAACATACAAAGGAATAAGCACTGGGATGAAAAACTGTTTAGTATCTACAAGTCTATCAAACGTATTCACCCAGAATAAAATCTCTGTTTTGCTTGTAAAGTTTTGCTTGTAAAGTGAACAAACTGTTTCTCTAGTGTACACATATTTTCAAAGGGATAATTAATGTTAAAACACTGAAAAGAGTCCTTTGAAAACATTGCCTGTTTTAAGGTAATCCATCTGAAGATCCCCAAAATTTCAATATTTGCCTTGTTTTTTGCCTTGCTACAAGCACGTAATCCTAGCTCCCAAGAATGTGTGAAGAATCATATTAAGATTGGAGATTCAAGACTGTTAGGGTTAATAACGCCATTGAATTATGAGCTTTATTGACTTCAGATGGGCACCACAAACCAATGCATACAAAATAAGTGACAGACAACATATAGTCGGACATCAAGTGCCATAATATTTGAAGTAACAGTTACAAAAAACCTCGACTGGAATCACAACTTAACCCTAAAGGCCTTTTCACACTATCTCCGTTTGGAACCTTGTTGAAACCAACCCGGATCCAACCCGGTTCAGCCCGAGTTGTTTTCGACGCAACGTTCACACTGTTCTTTACGGGAACGGCCGCTACGTGAACCGTGTAACGTTCAATCCGGCTACGGCCCCTGTGTAGTCACACTACAAATTCTCAACATGGATCGCATTCGGCATGGGGCACTGTGATGATTTTCTCAATCCCATAATACATTGCGACGCACGCGGCTGCGCGCACGAGGCTAACGGACAGGCCGGTGTGCAGCGTGTATTTACTACTCTGTGAAATACGGACTCATTGGTAGTACTGCGCATGCCTAAGTATGATAATTAGGAGAAGGATTTGTCACGTGAGAGGGCTTGACCAATAAGAGAGTAAAGCAATCCGATTTTCATGGGAGTCTGATTTCCATGTATGACACCAGCGCAGCTGTGTGCATTAATCCCAAAATGGCTCAGGTCATTTCGTTAGACGATTCGTTCTATTTAACGTTAGAAATGTACTTTTTTGGGGTACATTTTGCGGACCTAATACAAGCCCAGACTCGGTAAAGGATGCTCCGTACTCCGATACATTATTGGATGATAATTAGGGAGCGATTGTTTTGTGATCGGTGTTTGTGATGGCGATGATGGTGTATGGAAATATGCACATTGTGTCAGATTTTTGGTAGAATGTCGGCCTCAACTCAACACGGATCGGCCGCGAGTGACTCAACTCGGGGCGGTTCACACTATCATTTTTGACACGGTTCACACCGAAAAATGCAATCTCGATCCGGGTTGAGATTTTCAACCCTGGTCCCTCCCAGGGTTGATTTCGATCCGGCTAGAGTTCGCTACCCGGGTCGGAACCGGGTTGAAAGTTTAGAAGTGGGAAAAGGGTTGAAAAAAATCTCGGGGTTGGAACTGGTTCCAACCCAGAGATTTTGGACAGTGTGAAAAAAGGCCTTATCTCCCTAGCATGATTTACTAGGAACCATGCCCATCCTGGCAAATTCCAACACCATATGGGAAACTGTACACACATATTTCTTACTTCTGGAGGTGTGCCAACCCAATGTAAAAGACTGTCAGTTTAGGGGTACTGTACCCATCCAGACAGATTCCAACAAATCATGCTGTTGGGGTTTGATGGGTTGAGTTCTGTTAGGGTTAATCAAGGTACGAGTGAAAGACATCAGTGTCTTGACAAACCTTAAAGGAGTACTTGTAATATAAGCAACCTCTAACACTTTGTCGTTTCATTTCATTTTTCAAACATACATGACCAAGCCATATTTTAAGAAGTTCACATTAATTTGATTAATTGTTAAATTTGCAGCTGATAGAACTACGAGTATACAACCTTGTTACCTTAATTATCTTACTGCTCTGCATACATACCTCATGAATATTCCTGCGTTCCTTGATATCAGCCAGATCATTTTCCAGTCGTTGGATCTCCTGTTTCAAGCGTCCACACTCACGTTGAGCTACCAACATCATGTGTTTCTCTGTCTCCAACTCTCTGCCTCGAGCTCGATTCAAAGCCTGAAATTGAGAATAAAATACAAATATTTTCCTTTGGTTATGTGCTTATTTATTGTGGCACAATATAAAAGGAAACAGCTTTAGAATTAAGCCACTTTTAAAAGATATGGGTAAATAGGAATCATCTTAATGGGGAAAAGCTTTGCTTGTTGAATAAACATGGTGTAATTTGTAGCATATCACAAAAATGTGTAGAAGTGAAGAATATGCAGTTTATTATACAGTGTTTGATTGTATGATTGTCATGTAATTTGTCAAGATGTCCTGATGTATAAAATACACTTTATATTGTATACACTTTATATTGTAGTTGGTGTTTTAACGTCAGTTTATTCTATTTGAAACTCCAGAAATTCAGGATTTTGACTGTCTCAAATTCTAATACAGTCGACTCTCGTTAGTACAAACTCTGTTAATACAAAATTCTGGTTATAACAAACATAAAGCCTTGGTCCCGACTGTGCATTTATATGCACAATGAATGGGACTGGTGTTCCTCTTAATACAAAATTATGATATAACAAACAATTTGGCTAGGTCCGAACGAGTTTGTTATAACGAGACTCGACTGTACTATGTTTTCTTTTTGGAACCAAAAAGTGCCATTTTCTCCAACGTACCCTCACCAGAATTCACGATCACCATTGTTAATATTTATACCAGGTATGATTTCATGCATCAAAAGTAGTGTTTATAAGCAGGACTTTGACCTCAAGCTTGGGGGTTAAGATATTGGATACTTATAAAAGGTTCCTTGTAAAAATAGTGGGACATCAAAATCTTTCAGAAATAAGACAACTGAATAGGAATATTAGACTCTGGTATAATCCATTGTTTCTAGAATTTCAGATGGACTCAGAGTTGACATTAAAATACAACTACTCCGACCCAATGATAACAAGTGTGTATTAACATCAAAAGCTCCTGACTAGCATGTGATTGAGTTGGTTACCTGAGTCTGATTGAGTTCTTGTTGCACATTCTTCATATGTTCAGACATTGCAAACACCCGATCCTCATGCTCAGAGAGCTCAGCTTGATATCTGACTACATCCTGTTGCTTGTGCTGGACCTGTCCATTGAACAAACAGAAGAGAAATTACATCAGGCCTTAAAGTGAATGATGCTAACTACACTTACCAAGTTGATGTGGACTAGAAATTTATATAAATTCTATGTAGGCCTATAGCTTAAATTAGTGCTGCAACTGATCCTCAAAGTTCGGTTCGGTTCGGTTGCAGTTCGATTTTTTTTCTCCGAACTTCGGTTCGGTCCGGCTTCGGAAGTGCATACATAATGTACATGTCCATGGTACAATGTATTGGGCTACAATAAAAAGCAATAGGCCGTTCTCCTGTTTGAACAAACACGTGTGCACCGCGCACGTCTGACAGAAATAGGCACCGCAATTTCCACATGCTATACAACAAAAGTTGAAGTATGAATCTTATTTTTGCTGTGTAAACCAAATACCGTTATAATTTGACTATGACATTGAGAAACGAACATCGTAAATTGCTACCATGTTGTCATTGTCTTGCTTTCCACGACTGCTTTCCGCGACAACGCACCAGATGAATATTGAACCCACTAGTGGCGCCTGAAAGCGGTGTGGTACCCACATACATCGCACAATTTTTTTTCGATAATCATCACGTGATGCATTTCATTTGCATAATTGACCAAACAAGATGGACGACAGCCATTGGAACTGGATGTTTTTATGGACAAGCCGCCGAAATCGTCAACATTTTTCAAATTTTAGTTTTTTTTGTTCTGTTTGAAGTCGATTATTATTAGCTTCGTGAATGACTGCTGAATGGTATGAGTTATGTAAATGGAATTTGGGGTGAGATTATAGAGGTGAAAAGGGACAATTTTGGGGAGGCCATTCTGGAAGGGTCTCTTAAGACCACACTCTCAAGCCGTAGTTATGTCTCCAGCGTTACATGTGAATTCCTGATGAGCACGTTAGCTGGAGTTACTCAAGCTAGTTCAAATGCAAGATTTGGCATAAAAGCAGATTAAAGAAAGCTTCATATGTGAGTACTTACCACACTAAAAAGTAATATTCACAATGTGTCACGGAGGGACGATTTCACTAGTTTCAAAATGACACCGCAATGTGGCGTAGTTTACAAGCCACGTTCAGGGGTCTAGAGTTACTCAAGCTAGTTGTAGTCCAGTAAATCATGTGGTTTTTTTTTGCAAATCGGCCACATTTATGGGGCTACCTGCATGCTACTCAACTGCTAGCCCCACTAGTGTGGCCGTCGGTATGCTGCGCTGAACCTAAGGCCACACACCGTGGTCCGCGCACTACTGAGGACATTTTCATAAAAATTGCAGGGAATTTCTTAAATATGGTTGTATTCTACGATGTCCCATCTATCACTTCTGGGATGCTTAGGTGTAATGATGTTCAATTTTCCGAGATATTCTTGAATCTTTCTGGAGCCCATATGCACTCGTGAAGATCCGGTGATGGCAGCCATTTTGAATGTGACAAGAGACGACCTCAAGCTGTGACGTCGCGTTTATGCAAATCGCTTGTCGAGCGAGGGCGTGAGTTGCAAATGCGACGGCTGTTTCCTGTGTCGTAGATCCTGAATAGAGATCAGTGCACGTGGCCCCCAGACGATAAATGCATGGTACAGGAAACAGCCGTCGCATTTGCAACTCGCGCCCTCGCTCGACAAGCAATTTGCATAAACGCGACGTCACAGCTTGAGGTCATCTCTTGTCTCATTCAAAATGGCTGCCATCACCGGACGTTTCACGAGTGCATATGGGCTCCAGAAAGATTCAAGAATATCTCGGAAAATTGAACATCATTACACCTAAGCATCCCAGAAGTGATAGATGGGACATCGTAGAATACAACCATATGTAAGAAATTCCCTGCAATTTTTATGAAAACGTCCTCAGTAGTGCGCGGACCACGGTGTGTGGCCTTAGGTTCAGCGCAGCATACCGACGGCCACACTAGTGGGGCTACTCAACTGCTAGCTTGAGTAACTCCAGCTGACATGTCCCATATTCATTCACATGTGAATGAATATGGAACATGTCAGCTGGAGTTACTCAAGCTACTCAACTGCAGAACTGTGAACAGTAGTAAAAGAAATTCATTCTTCAAGCTACTTTACCTCTTCTTCGAGCATCTTATTCTCTTGGTTGGCTACGGGAACCTTCATCCCACCGTCCCATTCCATCTCGCTTATAACACTTTTCACGCTCATCTTGCCGGTTCAGTAATCAGTTGTTCGTTGACGTTTATCGACGTTATCCAGTCGACTGGTCAAACAGACTTCAGCGAAAAATGCACTTAACTGCAAAAACCTACATGTAAAACAGGTTACTTTTAGATGGATTTCTTGTTTTGCGGATGCTTATCTATAACTGAATATAATTATAAGCAATAATAAATGATTTCAAAGTAAAAACACTCAATGCAAGTTCATTTTACTGGCGAAGCAGTCACTTATTATGCGTTGTTTGCTGTGGTTACGGTATTCGCACTTTTATTTCGGGGCTGACCTTTCGTTGGTCCCTAATACATTCATACAACTTGGACACCACAGAAGCCGCGTACCATTGATGTATTTCATTTATGTACCCCTGGAGGGCGCTGTCCAGAAGGACTGTATTTTGCGTTGAGCACCGTGCGAGGCGCGGCGCGGCGCGGCGCGGCGAGGCGGCACCCGCACCACAGACAAATAATTTGCGCACCGGCACGTGTATTACAGCCGCCGCTGGGCAGCTGATCCAAGAGTCTGTTCTCCTTTGTTGCTATTAAAAACCCTGATAACTTTTTACATGGTACTCAAGATTTCTACAGGCTACTTCATCTGGGGCACGATAGGTACCCCTCCCAATCTCCCTGGCCCTATAGCCGAAACACGGCCCACGCGCGGTATGATATTGTGGCGGAACCGGGGCGCTAGCGGAACCCAGGGGACTGACCTTGTTTATCCCAGGACTCCAACCCACACCTATTATCCCACAAAAATATTTATTAGCCTAACGAACGGGTGAGCGGCTACCCAAACGAAAGGGGGGACAATTAACGAACGGTGGACTAAGCCTAGGGGCTGTTCGTTTGGTGGAAATATACCACCGTTTTGTGACTGAGTAATTAATTGAATGGAACTAGAGCAACACAGGTAGCGACAGTAGGCCTCAAGGTGAATCAGGTAACCCTCACGGCAGACCTAGGTAACCCTCAGCGAACCTGGTAACCCTCGCAGTGATCCTGGTAACCCTCACGATGAACCTGAGTAACACTCGCAGTGATCCTGGTAACCCTCACGATGATACTGAGTAACCCTCACAGAGACAAGTGATTCCAAAGACGATTATAGATGAGATTTATTCAAGAATCTTAATCACCAATGGATTTGTTCAATAATCACTACAATAATTTACACTAATATACAATGAACGAGGTGGTAAATATTATGGACGGAAATATCTCAATAACCCTCACTCGTTACCTCCAGGGTCAACTGCACCCTTTTGAAGTAACTTAGTCTAATGTAATCCTTACGTGGTCAACTGCACCACTTAACAATATAAACAGGAAGATGAACTTTATGCGGTCAACTGCACCGTGTGTATTAACTAATACAATTATAATGAAGTAGCACTAATAACCCTCACACAGGTTGAACTGTCCCTATAACTCACACAATAAAGGTAACCCTCAACCTGACTCAGCGTCGAAGCAGGTTGAACTGTGTAATTGCAATAACCCTCACCCAGGAAAGGTAAGCCTCAACACGATTACACAATATAATCTTTATGTGCAATAACCCACACACACAAAACCGGTAACCCTCACAAGTGCTCAGAACGCGGCACAGAGTAACTCGTCAGGCAAGCTATTACGGCAATGATCGCCTCAGTCATAAAACCCCACCGAATGGTGTCCAACCCACGACAAGCAATCGCAGCCCCACTAGCCTCTCAACCAAGTTCCACAACTCCTAGCCACTTATGTTCTAGCACTAATTACCCAGACAAAATAGTCAGTCTTAATTCCCGACTAAATCTTTGTCACCAATTCTCCAAGATAATAGACAGTTAATTGAGTCAATAACAAAACCTGAGAGACTCCACCAACTCACCGGTCGCACCAAGGATGTCGATCGGACGTTGTCCCTAAATCTGAATAACCCTCAGGATTTAGCACGAAATCGCAGGAATGAGTCACAATGAGGTCTCCAGTTACAGCACCGTCGCCATCTTGGAACGAAGAGGCTTGGCGGTGTCAAACACCGCTTTATAAGCGCCCCGATTTGGGCAATGCGCGCTGGTGATTGGCTTACGCGCGTTCATGCATTATTGATGCTCAAATCACGCCATATATTTCATTGCGGATTGGTCTACGCGCGCCATTAATATTAATGACCTACGCGCGCATACATAATTCATAGATTAGACTAGTCTGTAGGCACCCTGTTTCGCCACACAGGCCCCAGCAAAGCTTAATCCGTCCCGGATTAAATAGCTTAATACAATTATAAGAAACAGGGCCCATATATGTATACAATCATTATATAACTAAATTCCATGTGTGAGGTTTACCCACATGACAAGTGCCGTGTGAGACCGACATCCTTAATACAATTATAACAATGAAGCGTCCATAATATACAAGTTAACCACCGCTTGAGGTTTACCTAACCTCAGAAGTGATTTATACAATGATAAAAGATGTACACATTTGAGGTAGTTTACTAATTTACAATAATCAATGTCTTTGGAAATATACATGTTTTATTTTAACAAGCCATACGGTTGTATGGTGGTCCGCAACACTTTATAAAAAATCTCTATAAAAATAGACAAAGCGAAATCCTTTAAGCACAAAAAATATATAACACTTTGGAAAACACGGTGAGCTAATAAGTAGAATCATGCATAATTAAGCAAAATCACACAAAAAGTACACAAATTTCAGAGTCATTAATGTTCATTAAACTTCTTGTACTCCCGTTGTCCTACTTTGGTACTTCGTAGATATTGGCGTCCACCGCCTTCTTGTATTTGTGATGAGACACCTCCTCGTGTACCAGTTTCCCATCTAGGTAGGTGTTGCGGAATATGCGTTCCTCAACAACGGCCTGCCGCATCCTCTTCACCGGTGGCTCGTCGACGGCTTCCTCCAGCTCAGATCCAGCCTGTGTGATTGGGCTGAGAGGAGGCATAGATTCAGGGGTTCTGGACGTCTCTGCACCTCGTGCCTCCAACAGTTGGCTCAGGTACGCCTTGGGCTTTCCGGTGAGACGGATGATGGGTGATGATGTGCGCCCTACCAAGGGTGATATGGGACAGGGCGAGAGCGAAATAACCGCCTCTCTAGACGGACTCCTCGGCGGCCGACTCGCCGTAGCTGGGGCCGGGGCCTCTGCTTGCGGCCCGTGCCCCCACTTCCCAGGAAGCAGCTTTCTGTTGATGGAAACCGGCATCTTGATGCCTCCTTGGCGTCCCTCCATGATTCCGACTTTCTTGAATTCGGGATGGCTAACCACGCTCTGTGGATGACAGATGCGGACGTGTCGGGTTAAGTTGTCCCTTCGCTTGTCCCGGTACTCGCAATGCTCGCAGCACAGATACACAGGGGGGCCGTGCACCAGCTTGCGATGCCTCCAGAGGCCTTGCTTCGTGTTGAATGTACGCTCACACAGGAAACACTGCAAAGTCATCCTCAACCTGCCAACAAAAAACAGACAAAATGTTTGGTTAGTATCGCTCTCTGCTTGAGGTGACTAACCTATCTATACCTAACTGGAAGTCGATGTTCCCTACGGGGGTACCTTGGGGTCCTCCCAGGGCTACTTGTCACTTCCCCTTCCCCATTACTTATTTGGTCAACAGTTAGATCCTCAAGAGGTTCTTCACTTAGATCAGGCTCTACACTCAGCTGTTGCTCATGACTGAGCGTAGCCTCCGGAACCTCGGACACAGGTTCCTCAACAACAGCCACTTCGTGGCTAACTTCAGTGCAATCAGAAGTTTCTTCTGGTGTCACCAGTTGTTCCTCAGCCATGTCAGGCTCATACTTCCACGGTTTTAGGTTCTCACCAGTGTATGGCTTGAGCCTATCCCCATGAACTACAAAAGCCTTACCACCAGGCTTTATCTGAATACGGTAGGTAACATCGGATAGTCTCTTAACCACCAAATATGGTCCTACCCATCGCAGTTCGAGTTTCTGAGACCTCCCCTTCTTCTTGGCTTTGTTGTACAGCCAGGCGAACTGGCCTTGCTGCAGGCCTTCGCCATGTACCCGGCGATCGTAGTTTCGCTTCTGGTTTCTAGCACTCTGCCTCAGGCACTCCCTGGCTCTGCCATGTGCCTCTTGCAGATTCTGCCGTAACCTCTGAGCGAAATCCGTCGCCGTTGTGTCCTCTATTGTAGGACCTTCTACCAACAAATCTACTGGAAGCCTCGTCTCTCTCCCAAGCATCATCATGTTTGGAGACTCGCCAGTTGACTCTTGGGGAGTGCACCGGTAGGCAAAACTTGCATACGGGAGGCACTCGTCCCAGTCACGCTGTCTCCTCCTCGGTTCGATCATAACTGCAACCATGTTGACCAATGTCTTGTTGAAGCGTTCAACCATTCCATCGGACTTTGGGTTGTACGCCGTGGTCCTCGTCTTGGAAATTCCAAGGACCTTGCACATTTCCCCAAATACGGCCGATTCAAAGTTTGTCCCCTGATCGGAATGCAATTCCAAGGGAATGCCAAACCGACAGACAAAATCACTGACAAACTTGTTAGCCACCGTCTCTGCCTTAGCATCAGGCAGAGCGTACGCCTCCATCCATTTGGAGCAGTAGTCACCGACTACCATGACCCAGACGTTGCCACTATCGCTCCGGGGCAGTGGCCCCAGCAAGTCCACGGCCACTCTCTCCATGGGCTCGCCCACCAAATACTGTTGGAGTGGAGAAACTCTCCTTTTCACAGGAGATTTCCTCCTCCCACACAGCTCACAACGTCTGATGAATGACCTCACATCCGCTGTCATTCCCGGCCAATAGTATCGAAACTTCACCTTGGCCAAAGTCTTCTTGACACCTAGGTGACCGCTAGTCCGACCACCATGTAACTCCTGAAGTACAACCTCTCTAAATTGCTCAGGAAGTACTAGTCGCCACCTACACAACTTCCCGTCGTCGGATTCCCAGTTCCTATAAAGGACACTGTCCCGCACCTCCAACTGATCCCACTGGGACCAGAGTGTCTTGTGCGCCGAGGACGCGGCCGATACAGTCTCCCAACTGGGACGACTGCCCGACTCCTCTTTTGCCCGAACAATCCACCCAATACTAGGATCACCAAGTTGTGCTTCTCTGACTGCATTCCTAGGCAAGTGTGGTTGGGCAAAGATGCCCCTCACACTCGCCTCAGGAATCGGCAAGTCAGAGTCAACCTCATGGTAACCCTCACTGGTCTTGGTCACTTTGGCATCATCCGATGCCCCGACGGTCGCTGTCGCTTCATCAACGTCGGCACGACCGCACTGCTTGCAGGTCTTCCGGGACAACCCGTCAGCATTTCCATGCTTACGCCCAGGCCTGTGTTGAATTGTCACATCATACTCGCTGATCACCTCGAGCCACCTCGCAAGCTGACCCTCGGGGTCCTTAAAATTAAGGAGCCACCGGAGAGCAGCGTGATCGGTTCGAAGCAGAACCTTCTGACCATACAAGTACTGTCTAAACTTCTTGAGGTAGACAACTACCGCCAACAGTTCCCGCCGTGTAACACAATAGTTCCTCTCTGCCTTGCTGAGTTTACGACTCGCAAAGGCGAGGACCTTCTCCTGCCCCTCATGGACCTGAGACAAAACTGCCCCTATTCCATCTCCACTAGCATCTGTATCTACGATGTAGTCACTATCTGGAACAGGATATGCCAAAACGGGTGCAGTCTGCAGCCTCTGTTTCAACTCTTCAAATGCCTGCTGGCAGACATCTGTCCAGCGAAACTCTCGCGACTTTTCAGTCAGCGCATGCAGAGGCGAAGCAACCTCGGCAAATCCCCTGATAAACTTCCGATAATAGGAAGCGAGGCCTAAAAAGCTTCGAACTTCCTTGACACACTTAGGTGTTGGCCATTCCGCCACGGCCCGAACCTTTTCAGGATCGGTAGCCACACCTTCCGCCGACACAACATGTCCCAAATAGCCCACTGATCGCTGAAACAAAAAACACTTACTAGGCTTCAGCTTCAACCCAGCTTGCCTCAACCTGGAAAAAACAACCCGCAGACGCTCAATCTCTTCTCTCACAGTCTTGCCAAACACGATGATATCATCTAGGTATATCAGCAGGATGTCCCACTGAAGACCTGCCATCACCTTCTCCATCAACCTTTCAAACGTCGCAGGGGCGTTGCAAAGCCCGAAAGGCATGCAGCGCCACCTGTATAAACCGTTCCTCACCACAAAGGTTGACTTCTGGCTGGCGTCCTCATCGAGGGCAACCTGCCAATATCCGGATGCCAAGTCCAGAGTGGAAAACCACTCTGCACTCGCCAACGCATCTAGCGTCTCGTCGATACGAGGAACAGGGTAAGCATCTTTAATTGTTACCCTATTCAGACCTCTGTAGTCGACACAAAATCGTTTAGTCCCGTCCTTCTTCCGGACTAACACAACATTCGCAGCCCAGGGACTATCAGATGGTTCAATAACCCCTCGCTGCTGCAAACCTCCAACTTGCCTCATTATTTCCTCCTGATTACACAGGGGATGGCGCCGGGGCCTCTCCTTGATTGGCCTCGCATCGCCAGTACTGATGTGGTGCTTAACCACATCAGTCCGCCCTATGTCACCCTCACCAGAAGAAAATACATCATGAAATTCAATCAAACAAGCCTTCACCTCCTCGTGATGCTCCCCACTGAGGTTGACTTTGCTCCGGTCGTACAAATCGTGCAGGTGAGACGGCATGTCACCATAGACCTCACACCCACGATCCTCACCCGGAACTACTATCGAATCGACTTCAACTGTTGCAATAGTGCCCACAGTTGTTCCCCGCCGAACAACTCGACTCTCCTCATTCGGATTGAATATCCGCAGAGCGAGAGACTCGGGTTGTGACTGAACCAGCGACCGGGCTAGAATAAGCCCTCGCTGAGCCAACTCGCCCCCACCTTCCACAGGCTCAATGATTGCCAGCTGTCCCAATGCCTCAGCGATACTGCTAACAGTACCAGGCACAACAGCCTCATGGCCCGCAGGAATCTCTGTGGTTTCGGCCACCATCACCCTGCCAACGAACGGTTCTCCGGCACCACTTGTGCATTTTACCCGGTCCCCGTTTAACCTCAACTCAAGGCGTTGGAAATCTAAGTTACCTCCAGTGGGTAACAAGAAATCCATGCCCAATATGCCGTCATACTTGACATGAGCGAAAATAACACGCACTGGGTAAGCAGTTTTACCCAACTGTATGTCCACCCAGGCAGCGCCCATTACAGCCAGAGGACTCCCATCAACTTGTTGAATGCTGGACTCTTCCGCTTCCAGCACAGGCCTCTGTTCCTTGGCAATTCTATGGTAGACACGACTACTAATTAGTGTGTCGGTCGACCCCGAATCAACCAGGAACCTACACCTTGCTCCCCTCACAACACCATTAACAAACAGCCCATACCTAGGCCGAGTACCACTGCTTGGCCGAGTGCCTACTGGCTCTCTGCCTTCTGGTCCTCGCCTACCGGCGGCTTTGTTTGTCCCCGACTCTTGTCCTCTCTTGGGCCCTCGGAAATGCCCAGCCTGCCCGCGGGCCCACCGGTCGGCTGGCTGGCGTTTCCCTGTGCCCATTTCTCCTTACGAGGTTTGGTACATTCCCGTCTGAAATGACCGACCTCACCACACTTGAAACATTTCAACCCACCAGGCGTTTTCCTTTCAGGCTTTGGTGAATGCCTCTGAGGAAAACTCGCCTTGTTGCCCTGAGCTAGACCTTGCTGGGTTAGCCCTGTCAGGAGCTCAACCACTTGGTCTATTTTCTTTGTCTGTTGACCGGCATTTTCTTCTAACTTTAGAAGACGCCTCTCTGTGTCAGAGTCGACTGCCCTAGTAAACTTCACAGGTTTAACTTCGGCCCTTCTCTCACACTCAACCTTCTCAAAATTCTCGGTCTCAAGGGCAGCACGTATAGCTTCGTCCAATGTCTTTGGGCGATCGCGATAAACGCCTTCCCTAACGACCTGACTAGTCACGGCATCAACGAAATGATTCTTCCCCAGGCGCTCCCGTGCCTCTTCGGGGATCTCAGGGTAGGCCTTCAACGTTAAATCTCGGATTGCCTGGCCCAACTCCTGAAGTGTTTCTTTAGGCCCCTGACGTCGGTGCCTTAACTCCACCAAATAATTTTCGGCCTGTCGTCCAGGACCGAATCTCTTTGACAACACCTTCACAAGTTCACTATAAGTGAACTTCTTCGAGCCATCACCGAGAATACGAAGTGCTTCACCCTGGAGACAAGCGGCCAAGAATTCGGTCGCTTGCTCCTCACTCCACTGATTCACCTGCTTACACGCCTCAAAGTGGCGGTAATAATCGTTCCACAGAACCTTACCATTATATCGGTCGGGGGTAATTGTAGGCTTGCGAGGCCCACCACCGTGAGGTTTACCGCCCACCTCATCACCCACCAACCGTGACTCCCTTTTAAGAGGCCATGGGCCTACTCCAGGTGAGTCAACCTCATCGACAACCTTGTTGGATTTCCCCACAGCGGGACTAGTTGCAAAACTCAGCAACTCACTGTGTAAAGCTCGCTCCTTTTTAGCACAATCTTCCTTACGGTTCAAGAAGGGATTTGTGCAAGGACCTCGCGTGGGAATAGACCTCAAAGGTGTACTCTCCGCGTGCCTTGCGTCCCTTGGAACCAACTTGGGTGACATGCCAACACTGGAACGATCGCGTGCCACTGAGGCATACCCCGAGGTATCCTCCGGCAACTTCCAACTAATCTCAGAATCAACCTCAACCAGAGGCGTAGCCCGACTCTTAGGGGTAACCTCACTCACAATCTTTGGCTGTGCCCCCTTTCTGACAGCCTCTAACTCCGAAGAGAGACGAGCCCTCTCCCACTTCAGCCACTGAACCTCCATTCTTGAGCGGTTAAGCTCATCATGGACAGAGCCTTTGTCCCCCTCAACCGAGGTGACACCACCGCCCTTACTCATACTGACGTTTCCTCTTGACTAGGAAACTCAGTCTCCACCAGACTCACTACACTTGGCCACTGACCACTCGGCGATAACGGTACCTCACCAGTAAATTCAGGCTGCGGGACTACTTGTCCAGGGCCTCCCAAATTTACCAAAACCTGCGTACCGACTACCACCTGGTGGATTCTTAACAGGATTGGCAGTTGCTGTCTCGCAGTATTTCGCAAAGATCGCAACTCCGCTCGAATCCCCAACAGAATCCGCACATCAACCAACAATACAACAAACAAAACAATACCCAAAGCAGTAACGACCCAGGTTAACATAACCCGCTAACCTCGTCACCAATAATCCTCACAGTGAACCTCAATGAGGTCCACTCATTAACCAAAAAAAAATCAACTACTCTTTATTTCTCTTTATTCCAAGTTCACAACTTACAACAATTGAATTTATACAATCACAAAAGATCCCACTTCTGACACCATTTGTGGCGGAACCGGGGCGCTAGCGGAACCCAGGGGACTGACCTTGTTTATCCCAGGACTCCAACCCACACCTATTATCCCACAAAAATATTTATTAGCCTAACGAACGGGTGAGCGGCTACCCAAACGAAAGGGGGGACAATTAACGAACGGTGGACTAAGCCTAGGGGCTGTTCGTTTGGTGGAAATATACCACCGTTTTGTGACTGAGTAATTAATTGAATGGAACTAGAGCAACACAGGTAGCGACAGTAGGCCTCAAGGTGAATCAGGTAACCCTCACGGCAGACCTAGGTAACCCTCAGCGAACCTGGTAACCCTCGCAGTGATCCTGGTAACCCTCACGATGAACCTGAGTAACACTCGCAGTGATCCTGGTAACCCTCACGATGATACTGAGTAACCCTCACAGAGACAAGTGATTCCAAAGACGATTATAGATGAGATTTATTCAAGAATCTTAATCACCAATGGATTTGTTCAATAATCACTACAATAATTTACAATAATATACAATGAACGAGGTGGTAAATATTATGGACGGAAATATCTCAATAACCCTCACTCGTTACCTCCAGGGTCAACTGCACCCTTTTGAAGTAACTTAGTCTAATGTAATCCTTACGTGGTCAACTGCACCACTTAACAATATAAACAGGAAGATGAACTTTATGCGGTCAACTGCACCGTGTGTATTAACTAATACAATTATAATGAAGTAGCACTAATAACCCTCACACAGGTTGAACTGTCCCTATAACTCACACAATAAAGGTAACCCTCAACCTGACTCAGCGTCGAAGCAGGTTGAACTGTGTAATTGCAATAACCCTCACCCAGGAAAGGTAAGCCTCAACACGATTACACAATATAATCTTTATGTGCAATAACCCACACACACAAAACCGGTAACCCTCACAAGTGCTCAGAACGCGGCACAGAGTAACTCGTCAGGCAAGCTATTACGGCAATGATCGCCTCAGTCATAAAACCCCACCGAATGGTGTCCAACCCACGACAAGCAATCGCAGCCCCACTAGCCTCTCAACCAAGTTCCACAACTCCTAGCCACTTATGTTCTAGCACTAATTACCCAGACAAAATAGTCAGTCTTAATTCCCGACTAAATCTTTGTCACCAATTCTCCAAGATAATAGACAGTTAATTGAGTCAATAACAAAACCTGAGAGACTCCACCAACTCACCGGTCGCACCAAGGATGTCGATCGGACGTTGTCCCTAAATCTGAATAACCCTCAGGATTTAGCACGAAATCGCAGGAATGAGTCACAATGAGGTCTCCAGTTACAGCACCGTCGCCATCTTGGAACGAAGAGGCTTGGCGGTGTCAAACACCGCTTTATAAGCGCCCCGATTTGGGCAATGCGCGCTGGTGATTGGCTTACGCGCGTTCATGCATTATTGATGCTCAAATCACGCCATATATTTCATTGCGGATTGGTCTACGCGCGCCATTAATATTAATGACCTACGCGCGCATACATAATTCATAGATTAGACTAGTCTGTAGGCACCCTGTTTCGCCACAATATTTTAGGGGGGCTATCAGGGGTGGATCCAGAAATTTGTGCCGGGAGGCGTGCTGAAATATAGACCGTTTTTTTTCTCCGGACATGTGACACCCCTCCATATCTCCTGAATTCCTGAGATTCCGGTAACACAATGACCAACAAAAAAGAGAGGGGGGTGCCTCTGTCATATAATCATGCTACATACATGTATGTTCATAGGTGAGATGAGCTGCCAATGCAATGTGTTGTTGCTTATGCACAGCTTTTTGAAACTGTGGTTGAGTTTAGTGCATAATGTAGTACATTCTTTCTTTGTTTTTTTAAGAATAAATCATTTGTTGTTGATCACACGAGTTATTTACCCCGTTCGATGTTCTCATCGACCCGGCGGACGAGTTTAACCAAGCAGCTGAGGTGATTTCAGACTACATCCGCTTTTGTGAAGATATGGTAATTCCTACAAAAACAGTTAAAGTGTTTTCTAACAACAAACCGTGGATCACTTCAGAACTCAAACAGCTTTTAAATGAAAAAAGAGACTATTCAATACCGGTACAAGGGATGAACGAAAAGAAATTCAAAAAAGACTGAAACGTAAAATAAAGGAATGTAAAATGGCTTATAAAAACAAAATTGAGGTTTTTTTCAGACGACCGACACTAGGAAAGCTTGGCAAGGTCTGCAGACAATAACAGGCTACAAACCTAAGAAAAATTGTGTCTTGGTAGAGGATGAAATAAGCTATGCTAATGAGTTAAACTCGTTTTACAGTAGGTTCGACAAGTTTGATTTTAGTGCGGAACAGAATGAAGTAACGTGTGAGTTACGTAACTCTCCAGTGGAGAACATCGGTATTTCTGTTGGGGAAGTGAAAGGTCTTTTTAGAACTGTTAATTCACGCAAAGCAATGGGACCAGATTCCATCACTTCTAAGGTACTTAAGGTATGTGCTGACGAGTTAGCGATCCCCTTTCAAATGTTATTCCAAGCATCTATTGACAATGCGTCAGTGCCAGCTCTGTGGAAAAAATCGACAATTTTGTGCCAGTTCCGAAAAAAATCACGTTAAAGAAATGAATGATTTGCACCCAGTGGCTCTTACCTCAGTGCCGATGAAGTGTTTGGAAAAAATTGTATTGAAGAGATTATTGCCACTTGTCACTAATTCTCTAGGTGAGTACCAGTTTGCTTACCGTCCTCACAGGAGTGCAGAGGATGCTGTACTTACATTGCTAAATGGTATCTTTGAACACTTAGAAAAAGCAGGGGCTTTCGTTAAAGTTCTCTTTGTGGACTTCTCAAGCGCTTTCAACACCATCCAACCGCATCTTCTAGCTCGAAAACTAATGAATTTGAATGTTAAGCCCAGGCTTATTTTATGGATCAACGATTTTATAACCAATAGAAGTCAACGTGTTAGAGTGAATTCCACACTTTCTTCCGTCCAGCACACTCACACAGGTGCCCCACAGGGATGCGCTTTGTATACAAATGATCTCACTACTCTGGAAACATCACATAGAATAATTAAGTATGCCGATGACGCAGCTATTGTTGGCTTTCTGGATGGCAAACAAGAATCTCTAGATTGTTTCACTGGTGAGGTGGCACAATTTACCAGTGGTGTGATGATAGCTATCTAGAAATCAATATCAACAAAACCAAAGAGATGGTGATTGATTTTAGGAAAAAGAAATCTCCAATTACACCAGCTATTATTAAAGGCAATTGTGTGGAAGCAGTGTCTGTATACAAATACTTGGGAACTGAAATTGATGACCAACTGAAATTTGACGCATGTACCAAATCAAAATATAACAAGCTGCAACAACGTTTGTTTTTTTCTGCGCAAACTGAAGTCTTTTCACGTTGATAAAACTATTTTACAACTGTTTTACAAGTCCATTGTACAGAGTATTCTCACATTTTGTCTTGTTTGTTTTTACGGAAATATGAGGTGCCAGGATCGGATTAAGCTAGACAGAATAGTGAAGCAAGCCAGTAAAGCTATTGGTTTACAAGAGTCTCCAGAGGCATTATACAGGTCTCTTATGTGCAATAAAATTAAGACAGTTCTTTCCGACTCGCATCACGCATTACATGTCCACTTCCAAACGAACTCCAGAAGTAATCGCTTTTTACAACGAAGGATCAGGACACGGCGATACGGCAGTTCATTCGTTCCAGCAGCTATCAAATGGTACAATGAGCAACTGGAACGATGAACTGTCGTGTGGCCGACTCTGATCCCTCATTAATGTAATAATATGTGTATTATATGTAGTAGTTTGTTTTTTTACATGTAATTACTGGATTTATAAGTTTGTGGGAACTACATTGCATTTTTACATCTATTTAATTAATGATTGTATGTTTCTATAACCCGTTCTTTGTCAAGGCCATTTTAATTTCCCTCCCGAGGGATAATAAAGTTCAATCTTATCTCTTATCTTATCTTTAATTTAAAACAGAGAGAGCATCACTTCAACTTGCAATTTGCAAAAGATTTTGCAAAAATCTTGCAAAAGATTTTGAAGCTATAAGCGTATTTCAAATTTTTGTAATAGGTGGCCGGGAGTAATTTCTTTTTAATACTTACTCGCGACCCAGGCCTCACCATTTTATGAACCAGCAGCGACACCCTCAACGTAACTTCTTTCCTTTTAACACCCCATCCATGAGGACACTTCAGGAAACATTTGCATATATTGAGATTAGTCCATACACATTATGTTAGACGCCTTGTAATAACGCTCTGTTGTGCGAGATTATTTTGAGCCATACATGTCCAGGTACATTTGTCACTGAGATCATTGAGATGCATTAAAATATATATATATTTTATCCAATCCTAGATCTGTTATAGTGTTAAGGGTGGTGGTTTAATTAACCCCTTCATGTCCATGTTATTTCACCACGGACCACTTTTCTTTATCTTCAGCAAATGTACACTTTTAAAACTAAACAGTTGCAGTTAATTAATTAGCCCTAACAGTCCTTAATCCTCCAACTTCAATACGATTTGGCACAACCCCTAGGGAGTTACGGTTAAGTTGTAAAATAATTGGATACAATCAACTTTTTGAACTGTTGACAGATTGCAAGTGGTATTATTCGTCATGCATAAAAGGAACCGGGAAAATGCAAACAAATGTTGAATTTTACTTAGCCTAAAAAGATTTCATCGCGGTAAAAAACAAAAATTAAACCTTACAATACTACTGGTTTAAAAGCATTTGAAATGGTCATCTTAATGCCTTGAATTCGGCCAATAGAATTGAAGTCTAGGTGGTTTACATTGTTATTGGCTGCATCTATCTGTAGACACTCTGAATTAATTGACATGGAACTAAGGCATCATCGCAATTTGTGCATGTCAGGATTTCTAGTATTTAGTATGTCTATTTACAAAGACTGTCAGATTAACATTTGAGCAAAATGGTACTTGCTTTATGAAGGAGTATAAACCTGTATTTACCCACAGTAAATTCCAAGACGTTTATTACGTTTTATTTATGAAGTTTGTTTTTTTCTGCCAACTGAAAAATATGAAATATCAATTTCAACACAGCTGTGCAGTCAGTTCTGACATGGCAATTATTAAACAAGGCTTTCCCTTATACTAAGGATTCTGAATATTAAATTGTTGCATTAAATATTTAAGTCACATTGGAATAAACATGCACTTGGGCCATTTCAATACGTGACACAATGGTCAAGAAAGTTGTAACCATAACAACGTTTTGCTTTTGTTTGGTTTCGGTAAACATAAATAAAATAACTGGAGGAGAACATTCCAAATTCATTTTAATACAAAATAAAAAATATTGCTCATAAAATTGGTTGGGAAAAAAATAACAATTCCTCATTTTTCTTTTACTTTTCTGAGGACAACATACCATTTCTACATGTATTCAAATGACCCTTGGACACGGTAATCATCCCAGTATACATGTACATAATTATTTGCAAGATAATGCAAATCCACAGTTTCAAGCTAGCCAATGGCATCCAGAACTTAGCTTCCAGCGCTTTGCATATTCAGCATACCACAAACCTGAATAATATCAAATTGTCTTCTTTTCTTCCACATATCTTTTATACAATAGTACTTTTTTTATACAAGGTATCAAAACACTGGGGTTGGGCTTCATTTTTAACAGATAAAAAGCAACAACCCATTTTTAAATACATTTTTGTGGATTCAGAAGCAAGTTCTGTATATATGCCATGGACCCCCTTGTCTTATTTACAGTGTACACAAAATGCTAACTACTCAGTGTACATTATGTTTATTTTAAAGCAACATAGGGGTAAATGTGTTACATTAATATGCTCCACAAATCCTGCAGTAACAATGTTATGTACAATTATCGCATTAAGGATTTGAAAACAAAACCTTTAAACTGATCAGCAGAAACATAAAATCCAGCCATATTTACTGATAAACTGCAGTCAACAGCCAAAACAATCTGCCCAAAACTTCAATAAAAAAATAAATAAAAATACCAAATTTGCATTAAAATTACTGAAATCATCTGCTTCGAAGCTCTGAAATAATTTAATGGCTTAAAAACATAAAAACATTCAGAAACTGCTTCAAGAGAACAAATTTAAAATCTAACTTTTTTAAAGATAAAATACCAGTATTCAAAATGAAACAGATAAGAAACCCATGCCCTGCAAGGTAGCATTCTCCTACTTCGACATCACCCCTCCCCAAAACAAGTTCTGGCCAAAGTCTATTGAGAATATACATGCAGACCCTTTGCACCATCTTTGAGCTTTGAATTCAGTAACAATGAATGCGCAAGACGTCTATTACTCATGCCTATCCATTTACAACAAAAGCCCCCACCTCAAAGATGAGTGCAATGCACAGGTATCTCAAGACCAATAGTAATGGCAGAAGTATTGTGTCAGACTCTGCATGAGTTGGTCTATACATGAAGGTCTTCTTTGTTACGAGTTGGGACTTTGCTTATTTTGGTGTATGTTAATATCTTTGATAATGTTGTTCATGTCATTGATTTCAGGGTACCTATTACTACTACCGTATTTCACAATATTCAGAATTAAAATTGTGAAATATAACAATGAGCTCTGTTTCAATGTCAATAGTAAACGTTTACAGGAATAGAAATCCCCCCCCCCCAAAAAAAAATAACAATCAAAATCTACAAATGGTTCTGAAACAATGCAGAGTACATGAGAAATGAACATTTTGAATTTTTGTGTTTCATCAATATATCAAGTTATAGGACAGAATTTTTTTTTGTGCCCCACCTCCTGTCCACAAAAAACAAAAGACCTGAGAGCTGTGTGAAAAAAATTCATCTTGATTGTGTAGTAAGGAGCAGACAAGCTGTTATTCTTCTGAAGAAGTCAACAGCCAGAAAGGGATTGCCATCTTGGATCTCGGTAAATTATCAAACACAAAATACAACAAAATCTTTATTTCACATATTATTAATCATTGTTTCAAAACCACTTGAAGCTTTGTGCTATGTTTGTTTCTGTAAAAAGTTACAAAATATATGCAATTTATGCTGGGGGAAAAAGCATCAGATCACTACATCAAGGCAACCCAACAAAAAATACAATAAAATGAAAGCAAGACAATTAAACATAATTATAACAACAACAGCACTGCCTTGAATCTGGCTCTGTACTTTGATTCAAATAACTATTTGAGGCATCCGTATTTTGTATTAAGTGATTTCCCTCAGATTTTCAGTCAACGGGATCATTTTAGTGGGGAATGCATCATTTAAATATCAAGAAAATATTCAGTTAATCAAACTTTTTGAGGTAGGACAATTCTAAAGATTTGCAAAGTACATTCCAGTGAAACCAGTGACTGTTTATATCGATACCCGAATATTAATATTCATGTTCAGTCCGTCAGCTTTTCCCTCGTGTAATTTTTTTGATATATGAAAATCTTGCATAGCTTCTTGCTTTCTTTGTGGAGAATAGGGTCAACTCCAAAAATTCTGAAGAATGCCTTGTTTCGATAATCACTGCAGTTTGGACTGATCACTTAGTATATTTCATTTAAAATGACATAAACTGGACAATAAGGAAAAAACATCCAACAATTTTTCTGAAACCATAAAATCAGGATCTGACCAATAAAGCCAATTTACAGTCAGATTTTTTAATGTCAAATTTTAACCGAAGTTCATTATAATGACCATCATTGGTATTCAAAACCAGCAAATACAGCGCAAGGATTAAGCTGGATTCAGGATTTCACCCCTTCCTTCAGGTTTCAAGTTTTAGGATTTCCTATTTGTAGCATATTTCGTTTCAGCTTCAGAGGCAGGAAATATAGCATGCAGTTCCAAGCCTTTAACCCTTCAGTCACGGTAGGGCCTGAAACCGCCCTACCTATTACTCCCTGTAGCGCCAGAAACCACCCCAGCACTCTATGGATTTAGTGATTTTTCAGGTGCAAATGGGTTCATTGTACTTCTAGTAATTCATTGCAGCAACACTAAACACGAGGAAGGATTGTTTCTTATTTGTTTGTTTCAATTTCTATCAATCAGATTGCACACGTGTTGCCCATTACAATGCCAAATATGTGTAACTATTTTACGCTGCTTGGCTTCATTTTTAGAACCTTTATCTGAACACAATGGCCAGATCAAGCAAGTGGCTTCAAATGATTCATTGCTAAGCTTATTTTCACTTTATAGGCAAAGACACTGTAGTTTGGTTTAAATAGGAAATGTGAAAATAGAGAAGTATGATACAAGGTAACCAGATATTAATTTTATACCCAAGTCCTTTCTGCTAATTCTAACAGAAAGGAAATAGGTCCAGCTTGTGAATGTAATCATCTTGGAACAGTTTTGTTAATCTAGTCATAAGGCATCATGTCAACCAATAATTATTAAGTGGTTCGCATTTCAGGAATCGTCAGTAGTTAGTGAAATTATGACTGGTATCCCGACTCACCATAATCTATCACTCATTTCACGTAAGCCTATCAGGAGGATGCCTGAAACCTTTCAAATTGAAAAAGTTTCAAGCTGCGGAAACAAGCATATATGTTTGCTTTAGAAGCATGGGGGTTTTAAGCTTGCATGTCACCCTGCACAATTATTTAACAAACTGAAATTTTGTTACAAAATTGATACCATTTCAGCCGCACACCAATTTATCTTCATATTAAAGTTATATTTGATGAGTAAAACTTGAAACTTTCAACAAGGATGGAACACACTTGAAAACTGTATGAAACATAACAATTAAAATACCTTGACTCTCAATTTTGTCTTTCACACAAGACTATAGTAAATGACCTTGAATTTGGTTCAGGTAATCACTGTTTTTCCACACTTGTTTGAAATTTCAAGTTTTATTCCAATTGAAGTTTACCAGTTAGACAACCTACATGTACAGCCTTTTTGTACACGCGTACCTAATAAATTAGTCTTTCCTTCACAATAAAATTACAAGAAAATAGTTCTTCCTCTTTCTTTACCTGTACAGCCTACCTTCAAGTCAAATTGAAATGTTGTGGCAGGAAGAACATTATCATGATTGCCTCGACAATGTTAGGCCTCCTCGACAGGCATGTTTTGAAAGAATTCTTGGTACTTTCAAAACAGTCCATCTGATTCCTTCAACACAATATGCATGATTTTATTAATTGACCTGCCACAAAAGTTCATGACCAATTATATCAATGACCACCTTTCCTCTGCCTTCTCTTTACACTGAAACCCATCCAGTTAGATAGCTCCAAGTTTACATATTGGACCTTTTTAAAAAATCTGCTCCACAAACTTGACAGTTTGTGCTCCCGACCCCCCCCCCCCATTTATTTACAGATGAAGTCCAATTCCATTTGCATGCTTTGTTGTTTTCTTGTGCTACACTCTGATGTATTTCTGAACCAATTTTAGAGCGTATCAACAGAAACAATTTCAGTTATGTACACATTTGTACAAACAGTACATAAGTATGCCCATTTCTGTCCCTTGCTGCCATTGATAGGTGTTAGTGTTATTCAGCCTGTTTTATCCACAGTTAAAGAGTGTTCTTTTGTTTTCTATGAAATGATGAATGCCAGAGATAAAAGAATAAATGGCTGAATGAGTTGGTAATGGTTTGTCTTTTGTCTTTGTTTATGAAAGCAACACCCAAGCTTTAAACATGGCAGCCACATCTTTGTAGTTTATTACATTATTCCATTTTCCCTTGCCCGACAGCAATCTAACTGATAATTTGCATGTCCAAAGTCAAGATGGCAAAAGTTAGGATGGCAGTTGATACTGATACATGAGATGAAGATATACACATTAAACACATACATGTATATGTGCTGATGCACAGACTCTGATAAATTGTCAAAGAAACAGTCATATTGTAAGTCCTTCCAGCAGTGCGAAGCAATGGGTATGTGTTTTTGAATAGCTGCTTTGGCAACCACAAATTAACACTGAAAGATTCCAGAGAGAACCGGGGTCAGGGTAAATGATGTGATGTATGGCATTGATTTATATGGACAGAGTCCTTTGTTGAATTGGCAATGGACTATAGCATTTTTATATTTTAAATTACCAGCAACAAAGGTTCAAGTACTAGATGTTATAAATTTGCATTATGCATAGATCAAAAAGTATGGCATAAGTCTTTGTACATTTTTGATTCTAGAATCTAAGGCATGATGCAAAAGCAGAAATCATAAACATAACCTTAATTTTCTTGCCTTGCACTGTCTAATTAACAGAGGGTGCTGCAAATGTAAAACCATGACATCTACTACATGACCCAAGGTTCCTATAGTGTATTGGCAATCTCTCTATCACCCACTGGTAACCGTCTGTTGGACCAATGTTTAAAAACTGCTGGAAAAAGTGAGATTTCTTTGGTTTTTTTTGTCAGTGACTGTCAATCTCAATTTCATGTGTCAGTTAGTTACTCTTGACTAAATGCCATTTTCATTTGGTTGAACACTTATTGCTGTCAATGTAAAATATTTGGCTTATCAATTCTATGAAACTGGCCTGTTTTGAATGTTCCACCTCTGAATGTTCCAACACTGTACCTCATTTCATTGCAAGACATGATCTGATCTCTGGTAGTATGTGACCTCTCAATGCCATCACCTTTGACCTCAAGGTCAGAGGTGAGTCTACCTTACCATTTGAAATGGAACTCTACTGCTATTTCTTGAGGAGTGGTTAACTGGAGAGCACTGGATGCGTTCTATTCATTCTGCCGGTGGTTGACTGTCGTTAAAACTTGAAGCCATCACTGGGGATATTAGTGTTGGCATCAAACTCAAAGCCTTGTTGGACCACCTGTGGAGCCAACGCTGGGTCCTCGTCATCAATCTAACAAAATACAGGGTTAAAACATCAAACATACTAAGTCCAAAGAAATCAGCCTCATTCTATAGTGTTGCATACGATAGTCTTGGGCGGCATTTTTGTTATCAATACTGATTCTGAAATGTTCAGCATTGACTGTCAATTTTACCAGTCAAAAGAGCAGAGGGAAACACATCCATATTGAAATTTATACTGAATTGCTAGTCAATATCTAAAACAAGTGATAGTCAACTAGATGAATGGGTGAAGGCTGATAGCTTTTTGCTGATGTACCACATGTAACCACCACTGTCACACAAGCTAGTTTTGTGTGTTAATTAAGCTCACTTATTTTGTGAACATTTATTCCATTCAATGAAATACATGATACCTTTCATCAAGTGCATACAGTGGAAATAGTTCACTTCTCAAGAAAAGGCTTTCAAATCCTTTATTTTTTTCCTCAAAACATTACTAATGCATTTTTATCAATACTCACATCTGAGAAGTAATGTGCGATAATGTCATATGCAAGTTTGTAGACGTCATCATTCTCACTGTTTTGAAGATGTTCAATCTTATCCAGACCTGTAAAAGAAATTATTCACAATCTCTTTAGATGGAAAGTTGATTTGTGTGGGAATACTGCTACCCCACCTCAGTTAGAAACATCTGATATACTTCATTGTTATTTATATCAGGCTTCCAAGTAGTACAAATAAATCAGTGTATTGTACACTATCGTAGAACGCACCTGGATGACTACAATATTATTTTTGATACTGTATAGTCATCCTGGTATTTTATGACATACACGCGAATTTCCCTGTTTCCAACTCAATCAAAAGCTTAGTAACTCACAGTTGTCAATGTCAACCAGTCAATAGAGCATAGCGCACGGCACGGTTGCATGGGCACACACGGTATACGCACCGTTTGTAAACAACAAAAATGGCAGCTTCAGGCAGACAGCGAGATTCGCTTTGGTAAGCGAAGAATAATTTAACGAAATGAGAGAACTAAAGACACAGAAAATACCTTGAAAGCGACCAAGATGAAAGTAAATATTCTACAAGTGTATCTGGCCAAAAAGAATCTACCAACAGATTTAGAGGCACTGGAAAATTCATGCTTGCGGGTAATTTGTCGAAGTTCTAAGTTAACGTTAATGTCAAAGTGAGGACAGCAGACAGCGACAGCAGACAACAAGACAGTGTCATTCTCACTGAATTGATTTCTTTCAGATCGAGTCACCCTGATAAAAATAATATTAATATTGGATGGCTTTTTCAGGGAATACAAGAATATATTGCAACCGCTATAACAATATTGCACTTGTCTTTGACGTGCAAAGTATTCTTGTATCCCCCTCAAAGCCATCTAATATATAATTATATGCTTAAACAAGAATGTATTTGTTTCAAGTATTGCTGACGCATTCAAGGAATTCCCATTCTATGGAAATGTTCACGGTGAAGCTTCATTCTTCAACAGCTCCATCAGTGAGGTGCTGGACGATATCTGTCCAATGTCTATCCACCAAACACACGTTTGTGAGCCCAAATCATGATTCATGGACCTCCAACATCTGCCACATTGCTTCTTCCAGAACACAACATTCTAGGAACACACTACTAGTTTAGGACCTGGACACCCATTGCTCTAATAGTCAGGTACCAAATAAAACATTTGCAAAATTTAAGAGCACCCAAAGTAAGGCCCCAAGCAGCGCACACTGCTCTGTCAATTGCGTGGATCACACTTGCAATTCCCTGAGTTCCTATACATGTTGCATGCGGAGGTCTACTTAACACATGTACTGAACATAAAACTGCAAGCTAAATCCATTGGCAATTGCCAGCAAATGTATTTGAACAAACCAATTTACCAAAATGTCAGTGACTGATTCCATGTCAAGTACAAGTTAGGTTATAACAAATTATCAAGTGAAATCTGATTGTCTGAAATGGTAAGCAAGTGGAATTAATACAAAGTATTCATTGGATGAATAGCCGTTTTCTTTTTTAAATTTATATCAGAAACTGGTCATTAAAAAGTTGGATTTTACTTGGTTTGTTGATATTTTTTTAAGCATTTGAATCAGATACCTGCAACATTTAGTACACATCTTGTTGTCTATCCTAGCCCTAATGTAGAGTATTGGCTTGACTGATTGGCAGTTAAAAAATGGAAATAACAAATACAGTTAACTCCGGCAAAACCGACATCGTACAACTCGTCAAATCACTCAAGTCGGCCGTCTGACTAAAGTCCAGATTGTCTGCAATGCATTTCCATTGAATTTTTTATTTCTAAGTCAGCTTTTACAAGTCGCCATTTCGATCAAGTTGTCGTGTTACTCTCGGTCCCCTTTCCATAAAAAGCATTACAAAATCCTTTGTGTAAGTCGGCATTCAACAAATCACGCATTGGCATCGACTTCCTGTACTGCGGTTGGCAAAGTGTCGAGTGAAAAGTGGTTTCGCACGGCCTGTGATCACTGCATGCATCGGTGTCGAAAAAGGGTGTCCTACTGCATACCACTACGCGGCGCTATAGGATCTTTGCTGCATACATCGCATATGCATCGTGAGCATATCAATACCAGTACCCCCTCTAGACTGTACCCATGCGCTCTGTCCATAGTGGGGGTCGTCTTATTGAATGACTACTGCTGCATGCAGTCAATGCGTGCGTGGTATATTCCGGACCACGCCAGCATTTAATTCATTACTGTGCACGTACATATGTATCGCGGTCTCCACTATCAATACCCCAAACGTGACGAGACAATACAAGGATTAATTTGCTGGATTCAACTCGAGCATAAAGGAGATAATCCAGGGTTAATCGAAGCCAATTAGTGCAATGAATCATGTGTGCAAAAGACCATTCATGTAAGTCGGCAAAATGACGACTTATAGCATATATCGGCATTCGCGTAAGTCGTCACTTACAGTGCATAGGCCTACAGAGCAATTTTTGAAACAAACATGGCAAAAATGCATTTTGTAATCTTACTGGCAAGATTGTGTAGCATCGCTTACCTCCACACATTTCAATCAGGGTAGCAATCTCCTGGTACTTCTCCCCTGATGCCTTCAAGATGTTTAAGATGCCATCCAGACACACCTGAACTACCTGGCTATCCTTGACTACCAGTAGATTGCACAACGGTGGGATGACATGATTGTCATACAACGCCATGACTTGCTGCTTGGTGCCACTAATGGTGAGGTTGCTAATGGCCCAAGCTGCCTCTTTCTGTGTCTGGAAATCCGACTGTTGACAAAATAGACAGAGAATCCAAGTCTTTTCAGGGTGAAGGATTCAACTGGGGAGTTTACAGAAATACCATAGAAAGTGACAAACTCTTAAAAAAAAAGTATTACTCAGATATACTCAGATACCAACAAGAGGACAAAATCAAGTCGAGTAAACTCCATGTTTCTGTACCCTTATTCATTTCTTATCCATGACATATCTAGTATGTTGGTCACATGCAAAGCAAACACTTGCATTCCATGCAAGGCTACCCTGAAACTTGCAGCCTGCCACAGCTTCATTGTATTGTGTATGGCTTCAAATCCAGCCATATTTGAGGTGTGTTTTGTTTCACAGGGCTAGGCATGGGTAGCTCTTTTGTACATTCTGTGTTACAAGAGACCACAACACCTCCAAGGTGGCCGCTGAATGCAACGGTCCATAATCACTGGTATTGACATACAGTGTTTCAGCCAATGAGCCATGCAGCCGTGATTTTCACGGAAAGATTTCTCAAAAAACACGTCCAAAAGCACGGCCAAAAGTTATAAACCAAAGCCGCGCTAACCTTGTGTGATCCCATGTACAGTGTACGATATACCATGCTTTCCATGTACATGTACCTGTACATGTATACCATATGTGTACTGTACATTACTTCGATTGGTATGCATGCATGCACCCACTGACCCACACACATTTGTTTTTGTTCCTGCCTCTTCTGATAAACGCACACTCCAAGTTTCCCAGACCAGTCTGAGGCAATAGAATATGGTGCGACCCAACTGACAAGCAAAACTTTCCGCTCATTATTGTTTTTCCTCAGAAAAGCGGTCCTTTACTTTTTCTGTGTGTTGATTAATGAATACGCCCTTAAGTTTTGATCATAAGTTTTAATTCACTGAATTTTTTTTGTCTTTTTTAAAAATGGAAACACAGACAATCATTTTTGTGCCGACAGTGTTTCATTACACCGCGTACTCCACATAGGCACGTGAGGGTGGATGATCACTGTGTTATTTTTAGGCATTAACCCTAACCCCGTAGGCCCTTTTGGCTAGGAACCATCCTCAATCCTGCAAAATCCTCCAACTGCCACCATGTAAAACTTGTATTCAGCCGCAATCCACCAAAATCATCCGTTTTGTTTTGTTCAATAGAAGGGTGACCATTGCCTCAATCCTTCAAAATCCTCCAACAATCACTGTAAATGGTTCGAGGCAGTGCAGACGAAAGTCACAAGCATTGCGGATAATATCAAGCATAATGCAGGGCTCAATTATGCACGACTGAACATTAACAATGCTGGGTACAGCCTCAACTCAACAAGAACTCAACACAATGCATCTTCCAAAATCAACAGACACTTTTTGCCATTCAGCCTCAATCCTCCAAATTCCTCCCAAACCGCCCTTAGGATTTTTGAGGATTGAGAAGGCTTGGGTTAACACCAGCTGTGGGTGAAAATGACGTCTCCAAAACCAGTGGCATTGCACTGTATGAGGGCATGGAACATTGCACTCCCACATTTTTGATTTGGACTCCCAATTCCCCAATCCTGGCTGAAACACTGTTGACATACAACAGCTGGGACATGGCACAATGCTAAGGTGCAGGTTGACAAAACGTGATGAGGGTGTTAAGAGAGTTATAATGAATTGCCTTGAGAGAGAAAGGAAAAGCCCATGTTCGGAACCCATAACAACACTGGCATTCAAACATATTCATTACCAGCTGAACCTCATTTTTTACCAGCACATTTTGATAAAGAAAGTAAATCATTGACAATTTATCACCCACTTCAATCTTTAAAAAAATTTAACAAATTTTTTTTAAACTCAATTTAATTTTTCTTTGTACTGGTACTTGGCATTACAGAGAAAATGTTGACAAAAATTCAAGCCTAGATAAAATGTTAAACCGAGTGGTGATTGATTTTTTTTTCTTCAGAATGATAATCGTGCAGCTGAACTCTAAAACCTGTCAATTTTTCCTCAATAAGATGTGTTTGCACCGCTACTTGAAAACGTTCACCTATAAGGGTAATGTGGTTTCATAGGATTCTACTCCCAATATCCTTTGTGTTTTGATGGCTTTGTGAGGGATAGGGTGAAGACTACATACCCCGTCCAAATGCCTGATGATTTCTGGTAGGAGTCCTTCATCAATGACTGCTTGTACTTGTTGCTGGTTGCCTGCTGTAATATTGGACAAGAACCATACTGCTTCCTGTGGAACAAGACATACATACAAAACAAGCTATTACATTCAAAGTCAGAACATGTTTGTTTAAGTATCTAACTAAAACCCAGTTATACCGACAAGTTCAGATTTCAGGCAATCATGGTGATCAGAATCCAACTATTCTGTTGTCTGCTGGGTCCAACAGAGTCCAACTTGGCATTATTTACCAGTACCTAACAGAATCTGACTCTGAATGTATTCAGGATTGACTGGCTGTGACTGTTTATGTAACTTGAGACACTTGTGCTTTGGCTGTAGGTGATAGATATTAGACAGCTGTGCCACTAGTTTAGTGCTTTTGTCTTTTGACTGAATTTGACTAGTCAGAGTGCTTGCCAAAAAATATGATCAGACTGTTTAGCAGTGACTAACCAAAATCATGAATCATGTTTTGAGTTGGTTTGAATTGCAGCTAAACACGATGTCGCGCACTGATCCGACGAATTATACGACGATCCGACGAATTATACGCGCAGATCCGACGATCCGCGCGTGTGCGTCGTGCCAACGCTTGTGCGCACTTCGCCGAATAACAAAACGAACTACTAATTTAAATTTCCTACGGTGCGTATTAAGACACACCGTTGGAAAGGCCTTCTTTCATTGATTACTTCAAAATGACAGCTTGCCAGAAAGAATAATTTCACAGGGAGTTTAGTCCACTAACTATCTTTTAACCAAGTATGTTTTTCAACAATAATACGCCAGTTACTTTTCGGATGGCTGCAAATGATGGACTATAGCTTTAAGCAACCTTCTTTGATGATAACTGCATACTTTGATGTAATCAGAACCCCATTAAGGAGCTTACCTTGTTGATTTTTTCCTTTGGATGTGTCAGTAGCGTAGGGAAGTGTGACAATGCCTTACAGCTGAGCACAACCTGAGTCTGTTCATCTGTTCCTGTTACAATGTTACCAACTGCCCTTAATGCTGCCGTCTGTTGGCAAAAAAATCAAAAAAAAAATTCACATCAGGTCCTGATCTCTTAAGTGGTATGTCACAATAAACAGTTGGTACGCAACGTATCAAACAACTTCAAACGACACAGAAAAACTCTACTGAAAAGAACTCCCAAAATACCCAAAACAGACAAATGAATACAAAATAAGCCAAATTACCCTTAAATATTCTTTTGGATTGCTTTGTCAGTTTTTGCCTTCAATTATCCTCTTTTCTACCACATAAAGTAGGCCTACATTTTAATTAAGTTCTCCAGACACATTTGAAGCTTGCAAAAGAGCTTGTGAAAATAACCCTGAAAGTTTCCTCTGGTGGGACTCGGTCTTTGAACTGCTAATTTTTTTGCTTGTAAAAAAAAACATCACTAATTAAGAAATTTCATCAAAAGTCGATGCTCAAGTAATCAAACAGTTTATTCAATGCGGTACTTTTGACTCAGAATAAAACAAATGAATGTCAGACTCATATTGAAACAAGTCAGGTGTGTTTACAAACACAAATGCCCCGCAACCGTGACTGTTTCCATGACATAACACCACTCTTTTAACCAGGCATGCAACTGGGAAGTCACAAAAAAAGAGGAAATTCAAATATTTCCAAGTGTTTGTGCAGTGTTTTTCTATTTTTAATGGCACACATTGGAAGTGAAAAAAGAGGAAATCAGCTGATCCGAGGAAAAGTTGCATGCCTGTTTAACATCAACTTACATGTACCTTGGTCACATGGAACGTTCATTGACAGCATTAGTGTCTTCTGTAGGTTTTATATGAATTAATCCCCTAATCCCTATGATCTCAGAATAAATACCAGATTTCTATTGTTTTAGCCACTGTGACCTTGACCCTTGACCTTTCGACCCCCAATGCGATAGGCCTATTTGGATTACCAAGAACGACCCACAAACCAAATTTGAAGTTCACATGTAAAGTATTTCTTAAGTTATCGCGCTGACAAAATTTCTTTTGTTTTAGCCACTGTGACCTTGACCCTTGACCTTTTGGCCCCAAATGCAATAGGCTTCTTAGGATTGCCAAGGACAATTCACAAACCAAATTTGAAGTTCATATGTAAAGTATATCTCAAGTTATCACACTGACAAAATTTCTTTTGTTTTAGCCACTGTGACCTTGACCCTTGACCTTTTGGGCCCAAATGCAAAAGGCTTCTAAGGATTGCCAAGGACAATCCACAAATCAAATTTGAAGTTCATATGTAAAGTATTTCTCAAGTCATCGCGCTGACAAAATTTCTATTGTTTCAGCCACTGTGACCTTGACCCTTGACCTTTTGGGCCCAAATGCAATAGGCTTCTTAGGATTACCAAGAACACTGACAAAATTTCTATTGTTTCAGCCACTGTGACCTTGACTCTTGACCTTTCGTCCCCAAATGCAATAGGCTTCTTAGGATTACCAAGAATACACAAACCAAATTTGAAGTTCATATGTTAAGTATTTCTCAAGTTATCGCGCTGACAAGATTTGTCCGGACACACACACACACACACACCCACCCACCCACCCACCCACCCACCCACGGAAGGACAAGGCGGAAACAGTATGCCCCTTCGGCTTCGCCGCTGGGCATAAAAAGAATATACTGTGAATTAACATACAAAGAGGATGCATGATCATGTTTTGAAATAAATGAACTCCAAGATAACTACAACCAACCCACCCTCACAAAATATGATACCTGAAATACTAATGATAAGCCATGTATTACAATACTAGAGATTAGAATTATTGAGAATCAACTACCTGAACTTTGACTTCTTTGTGACTGAGTAGCGGTACAAGGAATGGGACCACTCCCGACAGAATGACCATCTGTATCTGTTCGTTACCTCCATCTGTCAGATAAGATAACGCCCATACTGTGTCCACCAGGATCTGTTGACAAACAAAATATTGCATCATATGTTATCATTTCCACTCCAACAACATCTGATTACACTGTGTCTTCAATAGCCCAGCCCTACCTCGTATGCGTCCTCCAAGACTAGCACTTTTAAATACTTTTAATTTATTAACCCTAACCGAACTCAACCCATCAAAGTCCAAAGCAGGTTTTGTTTAAAATCTGTTGGGGTAGGTACAGTACCCCCAAAACTGATGGTCTTTTACAAAGTCCAACAGTGTGTGTGTACGATTTCCCATGTGGGTGTTGGAGTTTGCCAGAATGGGTATGGTTCCTAGTATATCCTGCTAGGGAATTAGGTTTAATGTTTAAAAACCTTGAAATCAGGACAGCAAAACTATCAACCAGTTCAGTATGATTTTGCTAGCATTTCATTCACTGTTTATGTACACGTGGGCTTTAACAATCCGGCTTGTTAGTAAAAACGTCATACACGTGCGCGCCCAACTGATTACTAGCGCCCATTGGCTACAAACGCTCAAGCTGCGTTAACTTCCGGTTCCAATCGTGCAGAAAGCGCTAGAGGTGATGTCACACTAACGAATTACAAATGGCACATAGATTTCAGCCTTAGCTTTTTCATGCCCCTTCCTTTCCTCCCAATGTGTACTCAATTGTGTTCTTACATTTGTATCTGTGTGGTGAATGAGTGCACTTAGAGCTGGCAGTAGTTCCCGGATAGTTTCTTCGTGTGGTGGAGGGTCTTTGTTCCTACACAGGTTGACTATGACCCAGGTGACATTGCGAAGGAAGGACAGGGGAATATTGGGACGGATGAAGCTCAACAAGGGTCTGACTACACCTTCATTGATACAGATATCCCGGCACTTGGGTCCATCACCTACAGTGTCAGCAAATACAATCAAGAAAAAAAATGTGTTGAAAACACTTGTAAAATATCTTTATTTCTACCCAGAACTGAAATTATCAGGAGTCATGCAAACTTTCAGAGGTTCCACGTTTTCTTTAAAAATATATTTAATATGTCAGAAGCAATCTTAAAGATTACTTTGATACTCTGACTTTAGTCATAAACTCTCGGTGTATGCAGATACCACATCAAAAAAGAAAATGCTTTCTTTCACAGTTTGGTTCGTGGCAAGCTGATGAATAGAGTAATGTGCACTTTTCTTTATTCTTTAACATCTACATGTAAAAAGCATGAAACCATCGAATACAGTAAATGCCTTTGTGACTTCAACTGAACAAAGCAGAGCCTCCAGACTTACCAATGATATTTCCCAGAGCCCAAACAGCTTGCTCACAAACATTGGGTTGATCCGAGTTTAATAAGTTCACAAATTTGGGTACTGCATGCGCATCAACTACTGCCATAGTTTGCTTGGATGTGCCTGATGCGATGTTTGTTAATGCCCATGCTGCCTCAAATTGTAATGCAGAACTAGCAAGGAAACAAGATGGAAGAAAATTCATATATTATCAAAAGTGTTCAGTACTACATGAGAACCATTCGGAAGGAGCAAACAATGCTTTTTGTAGAAATTCAAAGAATAGGTGGTAATGTTTCTGTATTTAATGTAAACCTCCCTGATCCTTCCAACCCAAGCAGAAGGTTTTGGACCACGTTACAAGAATAATGAGGGTACAACACACGTACCATTACTCTACATGGAGTTTCATGCTCCCTGCGGTCACAAAATTGCACCAGTGGGTTCCTACACAATGGTTGATTTTAGAAGATTCAGCAAAGGAATAAACAATCCTCTTTTCCCCTCTCTTGACACAAGGAACAAGCTTCAGGTCCAATCAGTGGTCATAGTCCAAGCTGGACCAACACTATGTGTTGCTAGTTTGGTTTTGTAACCCAATCATGCCAGGTTAGTACCTGAATGTACATTTAAGTGGCTTTAAAATAGTCTTTCCATTCTGAAAGTGTGGATTTACTTATTCACCATTGAAACATTGGGCACTCAAGAGTTTTGTCAATTGTTAGGCCAATTCTCATCATGTAAAAAGTACTTTGAATGATCCTGCAGTCTCCATAGGCCTGATTCATTCAGCTATACTGAGTATTCCTCTGGTCCACATTTGAAAACTTGCATTTTGCTGTTTAGTCCAACAATTACCACCACCAAAAAGTTGAATACGTCACTTTGTACTAAATCACTACCATCCCCTCTTCCGTGTAAAAAACCTTGAAACGTAGTCAGCGTGATTATTTGGCATCTTACCTTGGGCTGTCTAGGCACTCAACCAAGACAGGGAGAATGCCTGATGCAATAAGGTCATCTATCGGTGGATTGCGGTCACTAGACAAGAGTTTACGTGCAGACTGCACAGCTGGGAGTTGTACAGCTGGGAGGTTACTGGCTGCTTTTTGCACAAGTTCATGATACGAGATTTGGTTCTGTGGAAAATCAAACATTTCCAAATCTTAATAATTACAAGTGCTGTTTCATATAAGTGCACACAACATACAGGAACACCACACTGAAAAAAGACCCTCTGGATCATATCATGACATCAAGCACCAAAATTCACAGATTGCATGACTGAAACAAACTTCAGAATGACTTTTGGAGAAACAAAAAGGTAGAATGTTAAACACAAACCTACATACAAAAACATACATTTGTGTATTTCAACTTTTCGAGCATACGAAAAATGGAAATGTAAGATTTCAAAATGGTGGTATTCTTACAACAGGTTCTTCATCAGACTCCCCTTCCAGATTGGGGACATTCCGCCTCTTCAGTAATGTCTCATCGCGCTTGTTTTTCCGTAGCTCAACAGTCACTTCATTTCTTCTCCTCCTCATCTCCTGAACAGAACATTCATAAAAGAAGTTAGCCATTTCAGTCATAGGGCTCTCACAATATGAAGCATTAATTAGGAAGTCTGTCCTCATCAGTGATGAGATTTTTAAACATACTGGACCTCACTTTTCAAAAAGTGCATTTTAAAATTTGTATTTTTCTTTTTTTCTACTAGAAAAATATAATCAAAAACAATGTTTGAAGTTAAAAAAATATCGTTACAAACAATCAAAAGTAAATCTTTCTTTCGAGTTAAATCACAAAACTTGTTCGTTTTCATGCATTATTTCAAGATATAAATGTTTACATTTCAAACATCTATCAATCAATTACAATGTGGCTGGAGTTTTAACAATAATCTCCCAACCGTGAATAGTGATTTTGTCTTACCAAAAGAAAAAAAAACAAGCCTCACAGCGCCCCTCTTCATCAACATAGGTCTTTTAATAGCTTTTGAAAATCAAAATGAAGTTTTTTTACAGATTCTCCAAGATTTAAAATATAGGCATTTGGGTAAATCTGTGTCAAATCACCCAAAAAAATTAAAAGCTTAAACCCCACTCCCTTCAAATTGGTTCATATTTCATGTAAGGTAAAATTTATACTGAAAAGGCTGAAATTTTAAGTTTTAGCCCCATCGGAGAACGGTTTTCGTGCTACCCACTTCCCATTGCTTGGCAAATTTGGTCAAAATGGGCGTGGCTGCCAATTTTCAAATGACCATATCTCATAACCTGTGGGCCAAATTTTGTTAATCTTTATTTCTTTGGAAAGGTTATATCATAAGAAATCCAAGTTTACCATTATTTTTCATGTTGGAGTAAGTTGAAGTATGATGACCTTTTGAACTTTACTTTGACCATGAATTTGACCATGTGGATCACTTGACCTTAAGACGAACTTGGATGAAAATTATGCCCCACCATGTTTTCTACAAAATGTCCCAAAATTGGGGGTATATTTTTTGTTTGGTTTCTAGCTCATCTCATAGTTGGCATACTTTTTGCAAAATGTGATATCCCTATACAGTGTACAAGTGGATTTAAAGCTAGGACTTGTTTGTCCCTGAAATGTGTTTATGTATAGGGATATCACATATTGCAACACATATACCAACTTTGAAATGAGTTTAAAAAAACGAAAAGAAAATATGTTCCCCCTATTTTTTGGATATTTTGTAGAAAACATGTTGGGGTATAATTTTCATCAAATGTCAACTCAAGGTCACATGATCCACAAGGTTAAATTCAAATTCAAAGTAAAGGTCAAAACTTCATCATACTTCAAATAACTTTGACAAGTAATGATAAATTTGGATTCCTTATGAGGTTACCTTTCAAAAGCAACTATGATCAACAAATTTGGCCGACAATTTGTGGAGATATGGTCATTTAACAATTGGCGGCCACACCCATTCTGACCAAAGTTGCTAAACAATGGCAGGTGGTAGCACGAAAAACCATTTGTTCGGTGGCGCTAAAACTTAAAATTTCTGCTTTTTCAGCCTAAGTTACCTCAAATACTAAACATTACCAAATTTGAAGGGGGTGGGGTTTAACCCATTAGGTGATTTTACACGGAATGACCAATTTTCCCACTCTTTCAATTGAAATAAGTTCCTGAAATTCCACTCTTTCTGAAAAAACCAACTGTCATAATAATGTTGTAGCCTCCTTTCAGTGTCAGTTTAGGCAAATTTTGGTAGATAAAATTATCAAAAATCTTACTTATTTTTGTGACTTTAGAAATCCCAAAAGATTTACTTTTTCTTGTGAAAAATCATGGATTGCTTGGTCTGAATCCAAAGAGCATTCTTGTTTTCTCTAGAATATAGCCCCCTCTACTGCTAAAAATTATACACTTCATGATGGATAAAGGCCCAAAAAGAAAACAGTGTCGACTGTCATTTTCAAGATGGCCGCACACCAAAACGGATGAGTGCAAAAAGTGCTGCGATAGTATTCCACATTTGTCTCGATGTTTCAATTATTGTAATCAAATTCAATTGCAATGGAAAACATTTCAATACAAGTATTGGTATTTTTACTACATGTACTTTAACTATTGTAGGGCCAATGATTTTCTACAATCGCAGAAAACGGACGGAATTCGCGGAATCTGCTCCTCGAAACGGAAAACGGAATTTGAATCTGAACAAAACAACTTCTGCAATTTCATTAATAAAAAAACACTATTTCATAAAAATGAATTGTTGATGATTGATTGAACAGACGAGCCATATAAAAAATGAGCGATGTTTATATCACGATGTTGGTGGGACAAAAACGTTCAAGATCAGAGCAATAAATATTACGAGATCATTACCGTAGTACGCGTGGTCATGGGAGTGTCAGTCCCGACACACGCCGTAGCTGTCGGCCAGCGCACGGGTGAAAATCATCACACTCACGGCATGCTCTCGCGGGTCTCTTTTGCTCCATCGGTAGGTTTATTTTTCTCTGTGCAATCAATCAACCATTCGTATAACATCTAACTTTGGCTCTATTGAAATGCATGTCGTGCTTAGGTCCAATAATCTACCGTAAACTATCCTATTTTTGTCGCTAACGTTAGCCCGAAAACAAAATGGCGGACATGAATTTCGCTTCGGCCAGCTGATGTGTGTGACGTCATGGGATTGGCCTGTACAGCTATTGCATGTTTCTCACGTTTGTGGCAGTGGCAGTGTAGTATACGACTTGACTGTGGCGAAGTTAAATACTACGTCTGTACATTGATCGGCCGTTGATAAAAAATCTTTTTGGGGGTAATTTTCCCGCGTTCCAACCAAACGACTATTTCATTATCATCTTCCAATTTTTGAATTGAATAAATGTGAAACGGAATTTTTTAGCCTAAAACGGAATTTAGGATTTTTGCAAACGAAATTTGCACTTTTCTGAAACGGAAAATCATTGGCCCTACTTTTGCCCTAAAAGAAAATTCCAATCAATTTAAGTACTCTAATGAGTACATGTAGTTTTTCACAAGGACCCTTTACACGGTTGTTTCACTGAGAAACAAAGTTGCAGCACTTTCTTGAGGGCACCCTTTATTGCATGCGAACTTGTTGAGGGCGCATGTGAGCGCGCGTCAAATCGCACGCGCGGCAATAAAATCGAATCTAGTTTTAATTCAAATAATACGCTGATTTTGTTTTGTTTTCACATTGATGTTCTTGCCTGGTTAAACGTTAACTGTATTTTGTCCATTTTCTGATCTGTTTTTGATGTGATGATATAAAGTAATTAGTTAGAGTTCGATAATTTTCTAATGCATTTGACTTTTATTTAACTCCTATAATAATGTGTACAGTTTGACCCGCATATCTTTTTTGCCGTGTTCAGCTTGTCACTTAAGCCCCGTCTGAGTCTCGTTGCACGGATTTGTTTTCCCCACAAGTGGTAACTTATTTGTACTTTTTGTATTTATTGTGTGATTCCTGGTATCAGTTAAGAATGATCTTTTTACGCAGTTTATGTCCTCTCTTAGCAGATTGATTTTGCTGCGTTGTTTATGAAAAGTTACTGTTTTATTTAAGAATTTTCATCCCTTTCTGTCAAATTCAATAATTTGACAGAAAGGGATGAAAAGATCAATCAGTAAACAATCCACCAAAACTGACAACTGTAACCATACAGCGCAACGTATTCAACGTGCCAAAACGACGTATGTACATGGGTCATTCCACGAAGTTGGGTACACAATCAATGCATCAGTGACAGTGGTCCAGTGAAAACAAAGTGCTGTTATTTCTTTTTTGACAAATTAATCACATTTTTTATCGATCCCGATTTATTGAGGATGAATGGTCGAACAAGAAAAAAATATTTTTTGGGACCTCCAATTGGTCGAAACCCAAACTACGTCACCAAAATATCATGGTATCCATGTTTATTTTAAGAATATTTTGTGACTTGAAACATACTCGGTCTTCAATGTACGATTCTGTGTTCCCAAGAGTATATTTTAAATAATGTTTTGCAAATAAAGTTGAACCAATAGACCGTTTACGATTCCCTGATTGTTATTTATTCCATGCGTCTTGCATTTCTGGAGTATCGATCACGGAAGTCTCAGCGCACATCGTAACATTTCGTGTCAGCAATGTTATGAGGTGAGACCGAAATTTACCGACATATTGTAAAATGTCAGAGTCATTTAGAAGACCCAAATAACGATTTCCACGAGAAACAGTAGCATTCCATTCGTATCCAACCAGAAATCATGAAAAAAAACTACACGATTTTTTTAAAACAACCATGGTTACTCACTGGTAGTTGACTTCGCATCCACTAAAAAATGTGACGATGTGATAATTAAATGCGATCGCGCGTGCGCCCTCTATAGATTTTCTGGATGAACGTCTTGCGATCAAAGTACCCGGATGCAACCCTTGCTTTGTTGCAAGAAGAAACCCGCGTGCTTTCGGCAACTTTTCCATCGTGGGTGCCAATAGTTTTGGCGTCATTTTGTTACGGTGTGATGTCAGTTACGAAGTAGGCCTATACCACATTCGGGGAGGACACAAGGGTTAGATTACAGATTTACCAACACGGTGCCTGGTAATCCCGAAGAAATACTCCCTGAGCGCGCGCTTGGTAACGGAATCGCACTCGGGATACGGGGACCATCGAATGTACGCTGGGCATGTAGAAGAAATCGCGTCGTTCAAACATTAAACACGATCGGAAATTTAACGTGTTCAAGATCGCGAGGGGAGCTCTCCGAAATGGACGGAAAATTTCACTTTTTTTCCGGATCGTAAGTAAACTTCAGTACAACCATCTTAATTATCGATGTCTACTCGTACCTCAGGTGGCATATCTAGTAATTTGGAGGCCGTTTTGAAGGTGAAATCTGATGTTTTTTGTTGGAAAATGTTGGTTTTTGGGACAGTGACAGGATGATGTTGTCCAGGTCGCGGTATTAGCTTGGACCCCACTATCGCCAGACCATGTCCAAATGTTAAAAAAGGCGATAAGTTGGGTCCAAGTTACTCGGA